CTGGCTTGGACGGTGAAGGGAAGGGACATGGGGCCCTGTGGGGATGGGCGAGCACCAGCTCACAGAGGACCCCGGGGGTTCTTTTAGGAGCTGGTTCCCCAGGATGGCAGTGGCTACATGGATGTGGGTAAAGTCGCTTTTACTTTTCCTCCTTCCCAGGGGGATCTTTTCTCCTTTCCTTCCTTGGGGGGCGGGAGGAGGGAAAGTCAGGAAAATAGGACTCCACAGGGTTTCTCCACCACGTTCCTCTTCTCAGGTTTGCCCCAGAAGGCCCGAGGGGAAGGTGCCCAGGACCCCCAGGCAGGGGGGCAGCTCAGGTAAGGAAATCGGGAGTCCCTGACCTTACCAGCCAGGTAAGGAGGCAGAGAAGGCAGGAATGGGGTAGGGAGAGGGTGGGGAGACCTGGCCCAGGGGCACTGGAAAGAGGAGGGCCAGGCCTCCCCTGAGCTGCTTCCCACCCCAGGGTGGGCCGGCAGCCGGCGGTCCGGCGGCCCGGGTACAGCCAGATGCAGCACGGGGACCCCAGCTTCATCCTCCAGATTGCTGAGAAGGAGCAGGAATTGCTGGCCTCGCAGGAGACGGTGCAGGTGAGAGCACTGGGGAGGTGCGTGGGCCTGGGACCTGTGGAGGGCGGGATAAGGGCAGGGGGGGTCCCCGGTTTGACCTCTGCGCGGCCGCCCAGGTCCTGCAGATGAAGGTGCGGCGCTTGGAGCACCTGCTTCAGCTCAAGAACGTGCGCATCGACGACCTCTCCCGCCGGCTCCAGCAAGCCGAACGGAAGCAGCGGTGAGCTGAGCAGCTAGCTGCTCAGGACGTGCAGGGATGCCCCAGTATCTGCCAGAGCCCCGAAACGGCCGCCGACACACCCACAGAACAGCCCATGCACCCACAGAACGCGGACTAACGGGGCGGGCAGGTGGGCGGATCCAGCTGCTCCTAAGAGCCTCTCGGAGCCCCTCCCTTAGCGGGAGGGGGAGCGTGGTGAGTGGGCGGAGGGACAGGAGCCCTTACGTCTGAGCACGGAACTGAGCCACCTCCTTGCACTCCATCCGGATCAGGAGAATGGACCACTACTTTCCAGAACCCAGAAACCGTGTGCGGAGACCTGGTGTGTACCCCAAAGCAGTGAGAGACACCGGGGGCTCCACTTTGGAGCTCCCTGTACTGGGCGTTGGGGGATGGTCCCCGCACTGGGTCCGCACCACTAGAACCGGGTCCCCATCCATCTGTGAGAACAGCGATGTCTCCATGTAGGCTGGTTCGTTGTGCCCTGGGCCATGGGGAAGCTGCCCCGGGCAGCTGAGGGAGTCCCTGGCCGCTCCTGAGTGCTCACCTGGGACCCACCTGAGGCTTGAGGAGGGCAGCTGCTGGAGGGAAAGGGAGGAGGAGTGGGTTCAGCCAGGCGTGGGGAGGACCTCTGCTGTGCCTACACCGATGGCCCTCCCCTCCCATTAGGTACAGTTGAGAATATTTGGGGAATATGGGACAAGGCTGCCCCCATTAAAAGCATTGTGCTCTCTTTCTTGTGCTAACCTTCTCTTTCTGCCTGGATCCTTGTGGACAGTGAGGTCCTGCCTCTCTTTTGCTGCACCCTCCATCCCTTGAGGGCCTTTTATGCCCAGAATGGGTCTTACCTTGTGGGCAGCTGGGCCCTGGGGGCCCACTGCTTTGTAGGTTGATGATACTCCATTGTCAAGTCTTTTGCACTAGGAGAGTCTGACTTCTAACTCTGGCCTTACTAGACTGACCCCCAAATCCACCCTCACAGTCTCCTCCAACTCTGTTCAAACCCAGATTTCAGATTCTTTCCAAATGTAGCCACATTCTCGCCCTAAACCATGCCCGAGGACTGACTCCTAAATGTGTCCTCTGTATGACTCTCAACCCTGCTCACAGACTGATCCCAAGTTTTATGGACTGAAGACAAGCTTCACTCCCAAGCCTGAGTGAGATACCATGGCCATGGTGTGACCCTCACTCTGACCAGTAACACTGAACATTTGTAAATCCTAAACCCCCTACGATTCTGTTCCTAGGCATATATGCAATGTATACTCAGAAGAAACTTCAGCTTTGTGTTCTGTGGCACATGTATAGCAATGTTCATAGCAATACATTTTGTAACAGCAAAAGAAACTGAAAATAACTTGTTTTTCGTTATCTATTACTGTGTAACAAATTGCCACACTCTTAAAGGCTTAAAACAGCATTTATTATCTCATATTTTCTGTTGCTCAAGAGTCCAGGGATGGCTTAGCTGAATCCTCTGCCTCAGGGTTTCTCACAAGGCTGCAATCAAAGTGCTAACTAGAGGTATAGTCTCATCTGAAGGCTTGACTGGGGAGAGACTCACTTCATATTGTTGTCGATAGAGTCCAGTTTCTTGTGGACTGTTGGAGTGAGGGCTCCAGTTTCTTGCTAATTGTTGGCTGGTGGCTGCCCTCATTTCCTCGTCATCCAGCAAGGGAGAGAGTTAGAATCTAGCAAAATGGAAGTTATAGTCTTATCTAATGCAATTACAGAAGTGACATCCATCACATCTGTCATATTCTATTTATTTGAAATAAGTCAGTAGATCCAGCCAACACTCAAGGGGAGAGGAACACTTAGGTTTGAATACCAGGAGGCAGAGATCAGTGGAAGCCATTTTAGAAGCTGGTGACAAGGAGGAAAAGCAACAGAGGATAAAATCTAGGATAGGGGTTACTTCTGAGAGAAAGTAGAGGGCAGAGATGCAAGAGGCACATTAGTAGATATAAGTTATTTGTAATGTTTTAGTTCTTGGGGCAAGTGGTGGGTTTATAAGTGTTCATAAATGGGCTGAAACAAGTTCATAAGTGGGGAGAAACAAGTGTGAGGTTATTTATTGTTCTGAACCATTAAAAAAACAAGGATTATGTGGTGTCCAATTCTATATACCTGAGTTCCTAAATTAATAAAAATAAAAACTGAAGACTATTCCTGACCTTGGTCTGTGCCCTTCCCTTGCACTCAGCTTAGTTTAAACACTGGCTTCAGCCTTGTCCTCTGTCTTACCCCTCAAATTAACCGCAGCCTGTACACATATCGACCCAGTCTAGCACTGTTCTCTCTCCATAGTCTGCATTGGGTCTGTTCTGTTCTCTAAACCATTCTTTTCTTTTTTTAAAAAAAATATTTTATTGATTTTTTTTTTTTTTTTTTTACAAAGAGGAAGGAAGAGGGATAGAGAGCTAGAAACACTGATGAGAGAGAAACATCGATCAGCTTCCTCCTGCACACCCCCTACCGGGGATGTGCCTACAACCAATGTACATGCCCTTGACCAGAATCGAACCTGGGACCTTTCAGTTCACAGACCGATGCTCTTTCCACTGAACCAAACCGGTTTCAGCTATTCTCTCTCTCTCTCTCTTTTTTTTTTTAATATATATTTTATTGATTTTGTACAGAGAGGAAGGGAGAGAGATAGAGAGTTAGAAACATCGACGAGAGTCATCGATCAGCTGCCTCTTGCACACCCCCTACTGGGGATATGCCCGCAACCAAGGTACATGCCCTTGACCGGAATCGAACCCGGGCCCTTCAGTCCCCAAGCCGACGCTCTATCCATTGAGCCAAACCGGTCTCGGCTCAGCTATTCTCTAAACCTTTCATTTTCATGCTCCTATGTGTGGAGCTGGAAAGAATGGTTTGTAGATGGATCTGAGGATCAGGATGTGGGGTAGGGCATGGTTCTGCCTGACAGAGCACAATGGAACCAGAATGCAGGTTCAGCGATTGGGGTTACCCCTTTAAGAGTCTGCTGACCTCCATTAGCAGAGGCTAGGCCTTCCTCCTTGAGTCCCCCCACCTTATTCCTACTATCCAGATATGCCTGAGTCTGTTTTAATATCTTAAAACCCTATAGATCAAACACCAAAAGCAGTGGAGAATTTTACTGAATGTTTCTTGGGAACAAATATGAAGGCGGACTACATCACACATTATGTCTATAACTCATCTTTAAATCTCTCTCTTGTTCTCTAAACTTCCCTTCTGACAGCCACTACCATATTTCTCCCACTCTGCTCCTCACTCCCCTACCCTTTCTGATCCACACTAAATCAGATTTCTTCTGGTTTATTCATTCATTAATTCCTCAAATGTTTATGGAGTGTCTACTATGTACTAAATGCCAGGAACACAAGGATGAACTATAAAACATTATTTGAGTCCCATTTTCACAATCCTAGAAGGGGAAAGGCACATAAAAAGACATTTAACATTTTTTTTGTTACTTAATATTTTGAATAGATCAAACACATCATTTTAAAATGTATAAGCTTGCCTGGTGTGTCTCAGTGATTGAGCATTGCTGACCCATGCACCAAAAGGTCACAGATTTGAATCTTGGTCAGGGCACATGCCCAGGTTGCAGGCTCAATCCCCGGTGTGGGGCGTGTAGGAGGCAACAGATCAATGATTCTCATCACTGATGTTTCTATCTCTCCCTCTCCCTTCCACTTTGAAATCAATAAAAAAAATTTAAAAAACATATATTTTTCAAAAACATAAAAAGTGCTGAGACCAGTTTGGCTCAATGGATAGAGTGTTGGCTTGGGGACTGAAGGAACCGGTGTTCGATTCCGGTCAAGGGCATGTACCTTGGTTGCGGGCATATCCCCAGTAGGGGGTGTGCAGGAGGCAGCTGATCAATGACTCTCTCTCATCGACGTTTCTAACTCTCTATCCCTCTCCCTTCCTCTCTGTACAAAATCAATAAAATATATTTTTAAAAAATAAAAAATTGTCTTTTAAAAAAAAACAAAACAAAAACATAAAAAGTGAAAACTCTCCTTGGTCCCACACACCTCCAATAGATAACATTTTTCTTTAGTTTTTGCATATTCTTCCATAGCATCTCAATGTGGATACAAGCAAATATGCACATTTATTGTTATCTTACCCCCATATTTTTTAACATAAAGGGGAAGCAGACTACCCACTCTTTTCTGTACTTTTTGAAGGTTTAAAAAAAATTATTTCATGTGCAAAAAGATAGCATTCTGTCATAAGGCAGATGTCTTGAATGACCCATTCACTTAGTCCAACTTAATGAAGCTTATGTCCTTCGCGTACTGACAGAAACACTGGAGACGTATGTTGAGGCTGTATTTCCGGATCATACTGTGGCAGTTTGAGCAGACGCGGCAAGAAGGAGAACCCTGGCCAAATTTCCTCAGATGGCTCCAGTAGAGTTGCTGGTGACCCATCTTGCTCTCTTTGTAGCAACAAGATGAAAGGCTCTTTTCTGTATCTTGATTTTCCACTCAACACGATCTCTTTTAGATATGTGATGGTCAGTGTTATGTGCCAGCTGGACTGGGCCACAGGGTGCCCAGACGTTTGGGCAAATGTTATTCTGGGTGTTTTCTGTGAGGCTGTTTTTGGATGAGATTAACGTTTAAATGGGTAGTCTGAGTGAAGCAGGTGGTTTTCCCTGATGCGAGAGGGCCTCTTCCACTCAGCTGAAGAAGGCCTGAACAGAATAAAAAAGCTGTGTCTTCCCTGAGTAAGAGAATTCCTCCTGCCTGACAGCCTTTGAACTGGGAGATGGTTGTGTGTGTGTGTGTGTGTGTGTGTGTGTGTGTGTGTGTGTGTGTTTTCCTTTGAACTTTAACTGGAGCATGAATTCTTCCTGGGTCTTGAGCCTGCCGGCCTTTGGACTGGAACTAAACCATGGCTCTCCTGGGACTCCAGCTTGCTGACTCATCCTACAGATCTTGCAACTTGCCTGCCTCCATGATTGCATGAACAGCTAACTCATCTATCTCTGCCTCCCATTGGTTCTGTTTCTCTGGAGAACCTTGACTAATGCAAGATTTTTCCAAAACAGTATGTACATTGAAACTTCCAAATAAAATTCTATTGTCTGTACCAAATTTAATCAGTCCTCTATGAACACTTGATTTATTTTTAATCTTTTATTAAGACTATAACAATGAAAAACCTCACACATTCATGATTTAATGTTATGTACAGTATATCTGCACAGTAAATTCTAGAACTGGGGTTGTTTGGTCAAAGGATACATGTATTTGCCCTGGCTGGTGTGGTTTAGTTGGTTGAGTGTTGTCCTGTGCACTGAAAGGTTGCTGGTTAGATTCCTGGTCAGGGCATATGCCCAGGGTATGTTTGGGAGGCAACCAATCAATGTTTCTCTCTCACATTGATCTCTCTCTCTCTCTCTTTCTCTCTCAAATCAATAAAAACATTTTAAAAAAGAGTACATGTATTTGCAATCTTGGTAGATATTGTGAGATTGTCAACTCCAAGGTCATGGTTTAGAGCAAAGGCTGAAGTCTGGTGGTCCATTGCCCTGCTTTGGTTTGCAGTGTTGTGTTTTTAAAAGATTGCTAATTCTTATATTGATGAGGATGTAAAGCAACTGGAACTCTCATACTCTGCTGAGAGTGTAAGTACAAACATTTCAGAACAGTTTGGCCATTTCATATAAAATTAAGCATATGCCTATGCTATTGTGTGAGTTTAATCAGAGAAGCAGAAGGAATTTGTTACAAGGACTTGGTGACAGGTAACTGTTAAAGAGGCTCTGCAGGCTGCTGTTTTGCACCTGATTCTGGAGCTCAAAGTTCACAGGTCAGGCAGATGGGAAGGGAGGATGGATATAAAGTGGGGGAGAGAACAGATGAGTTGGAATCCATGACCACGCTGTAGCCCTTGAGAAAAATTGGAACTCATGTTAGTTCCCACGGCCTCCCAATTTGATGATGTGGGTGTCGTGCTGGAGAAGTCGGTCCCCTTTCCTATCTGGCCCAGGGGTCAGAGAAGCTGAAGGAAGATCCAGGACAAGGTGGGGCAGTTATGGGCCTGGGTGCTACCATGCCAATGAGATAAGCCAGGAGATCAGCAACGAAGTAGATAGGCAGGAGCTCTAGACCTTGCAGGTGTAAAAACCAATATAGACACTGTTTTTCTTCTATCCTCCAAATCTCATGCAAAAATGTCTGTTGTGGACCACCCTAAATGGAAACATACAAGAGAATTCTGGGAAATGTAGTTCATTCTAAATTGGTATATTATAAAACCACCACAGCTTTGTTCCAGCAATTCCATTCCTTAATATTACTCAAGAGAAATGCATCCATATGTTTACCAAGACATGTACTAGAATATACACTGCAACATACAGTAGTCCCCCCTTATCCACAGGGGTTACCTTCTAAGATCTCCAGAGGATGCCTGAAACCTTGGAGAGTACCAAACCATACACATACTGTTTTTTCCTACACATACATAGCTATGATAAAATTTAATTTATAAATTAGACACAGTAACAGATTAATAACAATAATAACCAATAATAAAATAGGACAAGTATAACACTACTAGAGGCCCAGTACATGATAATTTATGCACTGGAGGGGGGTCCCTCAGCCTGGCCTGTCCCCTCTCACAGTCTGGGAACCCTCAGGGGTGGGAGGCAACCTGGTAATCATGGGAAGGTGATGCCCCCAATCACACTTCTGCTGCTGCCACTGCCAGCAGTGCAAGCCTCCGCTGGTTCTGGTTACCTGAGCCTCATATGGCCCTGGGCAGCTGGGAAGCCACCATCTGAGGCTTGCCTGTGCCTCAGGCCCACCCTGGGCAGCAGGGGCGCTGAGGGCAGGTCCTGCTGCACTGTGCACATGCTGTGCCCCCCCCACCCCCCGGCTGGGCTGAAAGGACTGGGGGACTCCAGCAGCAGGCAAACGGAGTGCCTGCTGCCCCCTGGGACTGGAGGACTCTGGTGGGGCTAAGGGGACTAAGAGCCATCATCTTGTGGCTATGAGCGCTGCCATTTTTGTGATGGTGTGATGGTCAATTTGTTTATTCCCTCTTTATTAGATAGGATACTGTACTAAAAGTTATGTGATGATGGTCCCTCTGATACCAATTTCATAACAGAGTTGACTACTATGACTAATGGGTGGGTAGCATGTATAGTGTGAATTCACATAATGGGCAGGATGGAGGACAGCTCAAGACTTCTTTGTGCTATTCAGAATGGTGCACAATTTAAAACTTATGAGTAGTTTATTTTTGGAAGTTTCCATTTAATACTATGGGATCATGGTTGATGGCAGGAAACTGAAAACACAAAAAGCTAAATCACAGCTCAGAGAAGGACTGCTGTAGCACCAGACAGTCCACAGTCAGCAGGTAGTGTTTGTTAGAAAGAGCCAGGGATGGGTTTGACATTAGCTAGAAAGACATAAAAAGGCAGGCCTTGCCTTGTTCTTGAAGGGAGGGTGAATTTTGCCCATGGGAGGAGAGTAGGAAGGGCATTCCAGGTGGGAAGGTAGCATAAGGAAGGTATATGAAATCAAATATCTTCACAGATCCAGAAGGCAAAATTAATGTGAGAAGCCCAGTATGGCTCAGTGGTCAAGCATTGATCCATGAACCAGGAGATCACAGTTCAATTCCTGGGTTTTGGGCTTGATCCCACGTAGGGGTATGCAGGAAGCATCCAGTGGGTAATTCTCATCATTGATGCTTCTCTCTCTCTTCTGCTCCTTTCCTCTCTGAAATTAATAAAAATTTAAAAGAAAATGAATGTGAGAAAACAGGGGTTGGTGGGAACTATGGCAAATTGGTGTGCCAGCCTTTGGTGCCAGGCTGGAATGTGAGTCCATCTTGTTAGATCTTCTGATATTTCAAGAGAAAGAATAGAAAGAAAATACAATAAAGAGGGAGGGGAGGAAGAGGAGGAGGAGGAAAAGAAAAATTAGAATTTTTAAAAGCCCACCTGAGCTAAACTAAATGCAACTACAGTTTTGGGCCCACTGTCTGCCAATTTTATAGCTTGAAGAATAGATAGACATGGGAGTGTACAATTTTTAGATGAAAGGGGGCCACGGACTAAACCTGACAAGCTCAGGGGAGGCCTGTGTAGTGGCCTTACCTACTCAGAGACCTAAAATAACCCCACAGAATGGTCTGAAATGAAAACTTGTTAACTAAAAGCAGTTTATTGTGGGTAGTCAAGTCCTAGGCTAGGTTAGACTCTTCACTGTCACACACACACACACACACACACACACATATATATATTTCTTTTTTAAAAGTATATTTTTATTGATTTCAGAGAGGAATGGAAAGGGAGAGAGAGATAGAAACATCAATGATGAGAGATAATCATTGATTGGCTGCCTCTTGCATGTCCCCTAGTGGGGAATGAGCCCATAACCTGGGCATGTGCCCTTGACCAGTATCGAACCCAGGACCCTTTGGACCACAGGACGACGCTCTATCCACTAAGCCAAACTGGCTAGGGCACAAGGGTCAATCCTTACCTTAGTTGAGCCTGTTTATTGTCTTTTGGCATCTGTGATAACATACCTTTGTAATTTCCCTTTTTCTGGACCTCTTTGGGTACAACAACCACACCAGAGCAGAGACCACAAATTCCCTTTACTGTTATGATAATGGGATTTTAAAAATTTTTATTTTTTAAATGTCTTTTTGTTGTTATTTTTAGAGGGAGAGAGAGGGGTTGTGTGAATCATTGATCGGCTGCCTCCTGCACGTCCCTTACTGGGGATCAAGTCAGCAACTTGGGCATGTGCCCAAACTGGTAACCTCTCTGTATGTGGGACATGCTTAACTGAATGAGCCACATGGTCAGGGCAATCATGAAATTGACTGTTAACTATCCTGTACCCACCTATGTAAAAGAAGTATGTGTCTATCATTTTACCTTTTATCCAATCCCAGAGGTTCTCCCCCCCCCCCCCCCCCGCCTTTGCTTTGTCCCACCTTCCTCATCTATTACCAAAGGATTTAATGTAATCCACTTGTGTCTTATATTTTTATTATAACGTATAAAGCAGGGTGCAGAACTGCCATTTTGCAGAGCATTTTTCTCAATCCGTTGAGGTTTTTCTTCCTGGTGATTGTCATCAGTTTGGTTCAAATAAACTAATCAAGTTCTCTGCAGGTTTGAACGTTTCTTACTTTGACAAATTGGAGGGGGAGCATAGTAGAGTGCATGGAACGTGGGATTGGGTAGTGAGAGCGCGTCTGGCAGGAGCTGGTGGGCTGGGTGGAAATCTCCCAGCGCCAGCCCCTGTGGACAGCATTTCAAACTCCGGAATGCACAGGAGTCACCCAAAAATGCTGCTAAAAAGTTTGTGAGGCTCTGCTGGAGACAGTCGCAGAGCAAGGAGCGCTTTGCTTTGCAGCAGGGTAGGACTTGGAGACAATAGCTCAGAAAGATTAGTTTGCCAGCAGCGTGCAGACAAAAGCACAGGGTAGGAGCCTTGAAGGCTCCCCAACGGCAGCGATCCGGTCCTTCTGAAAGGAGGCTGGACCTCAGCCGCTCAGGTCCAATCTCTCCTAGGCACGTTTGGAGGAGAGTGCTGCATGCTCTGGCGGGCTCCCTGTGGGCACCTTAGGGACTCTGTCCCGGCGGGGGAAATGGTGTGTGTGTGTATGTTCAAGGAGAGGAAGGCGGATGTGCAGCCAGAGCCGCTGAAGACTCTCCCACCGCTATCCCCTGCCTCTCGTTCCTCTACTCGGGACAGGCGCCCACAGCCCACCATGCAGCGCCGAGCTAGGGGCATCCCGCTACCATGACATCCTGCATCCTGCTGCCATGACGACTGCCTCCTTGGAGATCCGCTACTGAGGCTGCGGTCCCGGAGGGCCCCTGGTCCTCCCAACCCCCACCCCGCGTGCCTCCTTTGTTCTGATGTTTATCTCGGCGGCTTGCAGGGCTCCCTGGAGGAGGCTCAGGTCCGCGTCCGACCGCTTCCTTCAAGATAGGGAGTAGGGGCGGGAGGGAAAGAGGCCAAAACCCAGGGTTCGCAGAGCGGCTCCTGGACCTGACCTAGAGAGATGCGCAAACCGATGGCGGGAGCAAGCTAGCGAGAGACTTTCGTGTGCCCCACCTAACCCTGAGTCCCGCCTCACGACTCCTGGAGGAGGGGCCGAGCCTGGGGGAGGGGGGCCCGAGCCTGGGGGAGGGGGGCCCGAGCCTAGGGGAGGGGGGCCCGAGCCTAGGGGAGGGGGGCCCGAGCCTAGGGGAGGCCCTTTCCAAGCTGAGGCAGAGGCGGCAAGTGCCAACTCCACAGGGGAGAGTGGGGCGCGGGCGGGACCTGCTCCGGGCACTCCTTTCCTATCTCCCTTCCGCCCGACGCCGGCCCCAGACGAAGTCGGGCAGCACTGCTGCCTTCATCACAGCACCTCCCCGGGCCCTAAGCGAGGGCTCGCACTGCGCAGCCGCATGGCCCAGCACGTGACGCAGTCGCGCAACTCCGGTTGGCGGTTCTCTGGCGCCCGCTTATTGGTCGGAAGCAATCCTCGCCCCACCCCTTCGGTCCACCAATGGGCGGAGGCGGGGGCGTGCCCGGGAGGCGGGTGGGTGCCTCTCCGGACTCCCTCCTCGTGCTCGGCGTTGAGACCCCCACTGCCGCCGCGATCGCCGCTGCACCCCCTCCTCTGTAGCCCGGGCTCGGCCGCGGGGTGCGCCTCGCACGGTAAGACTGCCGGTTCCTCCCCGCCCGCGGAGATCCCCTCCCAGCGGAGCCTGTGTCCTGAGCAGACGGTGCTGGAGACCCCCTGCGGCTGGGGCGGCGGAGGGGCGCTCCGTGGCCGGGGCCGGGCTGGGGAGGGCTCTCCGGCGGCTGGGCTGGGGAGATGCCCGGCCCCGGGGACGCGGTGACCGCCCGTTAGGGTAGCTGGGGTATGTCTGTGGGACGCTGTCCGGGGCACGTGTGACACTGTGTGTGTGTTGGGGGGGGTGCGGGGGGCGTCAGGGGTCAGCGCCATCAGCATCCCTCCACAGCTGCAGCCCCGGCCTCGCTGTGTGACCTTGGATGGGCACCCTCTCTGAGCCTCGGCACCCTCAGGTAGGAGGGCGGTGGTGTCGGGGAGTGCGGGCTCCAGAGACTGCGTCAACAGAGGTCTTGGTGGGGAGGGCACGGGATTATCTCTGAAGACAGAGCCGCTGCCTCGCGGACCGGGAGGGGTATGATAGGGAGTTGCGGGTGCTTTACCCTCATTTGTCCTCGGTGAGGATGAGAATGGGGCGGGGATGGGGCGCCAAGTCCATGGGGATGGAGGCGGGAGAAGATACAGGGTCCTCCTACCCCTGGCCCCCTGGTGCATCAAGGGACTTGGTCCGGAGGCTGCAGGAGGGATTCCATTTAGGTTCTGAGCCAGTGTTCCAGTTAATGACCAGGGGCCCTGCTGGACTGAGGAAGGAGGCACTGGGTTGCCTTTCCTCTTGATTCTTTGCATTAGGAAGCAGGAGTAGAACTGAAGAAAGTCAGGGGCAGCGGACAAACCCTGGACCCTGCCTGGCCTTGACTTGTTTGGACCACCAGGGTGGGGCAGGCAGTCTGGACGCTAGAGGGAATCTAAGCACCTTCTAGCTGAGGGTTTTGTGGGGAGGGGATGCTGGATAGGGGAAGGCAGCTCTCTTGAGGGGGGAGAGGAGGGTGTGGCATGATGGATGACACTCATACCTATCCTTACAAGGAAATGGAGTCGCATCCAGACTGAATTGGTATAAAACTGCCACAGCTGTACCTGACTTCCAGTCTTACCTTCCCAGGCATTGGTCTAAGTAGGTGGGTCCCCACTGTGTTCAGTCTTTGTTGGATCCTGGAGCCAGCAGGTCAGTGGCCCCAATGGGCAATCTTTTTATTAAAAAAAATAAAAAATCTTTATTGTTTTTAGAGAGAAGAAAGGCTATGGAGAGACAGACACTGATGTGACAAACATTGATCATTTGCCTCCCGCATGCCCCCTACTGGGGATTGAGCTAGAAACCCAAGAAGGTGGCGGGTTCTGGAGCTCCACCGGCCACAGGCCCTCCTTCCCGTCTGGAGGCTTGGCCTGGAGTAACAGACAGCACCCAGTGGGCAGGAGTCTCAGGGGCTGAGAACTCTGGGTTTCTGTCCATTTGTCCATCTGTCTACTCACTTGTCATTGTCCCTGGGCCTGTTCTTCATGCCAGAGGCTTCATGGGGCCTGGCTGAGCCCTGCCCTGGATAGGGTAACCTTGAAGCAGCAATTCTCTATAAAGTGAGGGACCTGAGCTGGCAGAATTCTGTCCTCCAGAAAGAAGTTCCCCCCAGTTTCCCTGAGAGGAACTGAGAGCCAAAGAAGCCCTTAAGGTCCTTGTGCTAGCTTTCCAGCCCTCCGCATCCTGTGGCTTGTCCATGGTACCTACCACCCCTGACCTGTTAATAGCCCATCTTAGGAGAGGTGTCAGGTATTTTTTCTGGGCTGGGGGTGTTTTCCAGGATGTACATTCTTCACATCTGCCTTCTGAGTTCTTCTGGTTTTGGGTACAGCAGGCTCCCAGCAGTCTGTTCTCTGTCAATCCCTGGGGACTTGCCTGGCCTGAGAGTGGAGGAGGGGGACAGCAGGATGGAGGTGGAAAGGGGGAGGGGGACCCCTCCACCCATGAGCTGTATTCTGAGAAGGCTGAAGTCCCAGGGGGCCCACCCTGAGGGCCATTCCTGGCTGTTCCAGGATTGCCTGAAGTCATCTTCACAGTGCGGTCCTGAAATTGCCTTTGCCTCAAAAAGCAGGCCTTTGGGGGTTTGCTTTTGCAAAGGTGGGGGTGAACTGGGGAGCCTTGTCAGAGCTTCAGCTACCAGCTGCACCAAACCCTCTGAGGAAGAGGTTACAGATGAGGAAACTGAGGCACAGAGATGTGAAGTAACTTGAACGAGCAGCCTGAATCTGGACCAGGACCGCTGGGCGGGAACCATGCCCCCCCTGCCCATGCTCTTGCTGGCTCCAGAAGGCTGTGCAGCTTGGGGCATACTCAGGACTTGGCTGGCACAGGAAGGGGCCTCGCAGTTCCCTGTCGACACCGTGCACCAGGAGGAGGCTGCACACCTCCTCCTGCTTCTGAGAAGGAATTGTGTGAGGAGCCTGGCTTCCGGGGGACAGCAAGAGGCTTGCTTCTTCCTGGCTCTGGGCCCCTGAAGTCACTCGCCTCCCCCTCTGCTGGTCAGTGCAGGAGTTGCAGGTCCTGCTCTCTGGCTTTATGCAGGCCCTACCTTGTGGGCTTTCCATGTCAAGGATGGAAAGGGTTGATCACCAGTTGACGGTGGCAAGGCTAGAAGAATGCCTAGTGGGAGGCTATTCTCTGAGATGGGGGAGGGGTGTGCCCTCCAGGGCAGAGGTTGGCTAAGAGAGTGCGGTAGGGCTTTCCTCTTCCTGAGAGCATTTGGTAAGAGTTGCCAAGAGGGCCCAGCGAAGGCCTGGACTTGGACTCCACTTAGTTTGGTCATTTATTCATTTAACAAATATGAAATGAACGCAGGTTCTCCCTGCCAGGTGCTGGGAGAGTTTGGCCAAGACAGGGTTTGGCAAAGACAGCTACTGCCCTTGAAAGGTAGGGAACATAGATATTAAGTGATCCCATAAACGAGAAGGGGATCCTTTTAAAGGTGTTTCAGGCCTCTGCTGGGATGGGCAGGGGGGTGGTGTTGTGCTACCTTAAGAAAGGTACGCTGGGGCCGAGATCCAGGCCAAGGGGACAGGATTGTTCCGGGCAGGCAACATGCAGTGCATTGTGGGGGGAAGATAGGGAGGGGGCCCTGCAAGTACTGGGTCAGAGTGTTTTTGTGAAGAGTCCCAGGAGCCTTTGCTGATCCGCCACTGGCTAAGAGTTCCACCAGGGCCTCCAGGAAGTATCTTGGGAGACATAGGGGTCTTGTGAGCATTGGACAGTCTTTCCCCCATGGCTGCAGAGGGCTGGCTGGAGCAGCCTCTTTGAAACGGGGCAGGTGGTCTGGTGCCCCTTTTTCACATACTCTGAGTCCATAGCTTCAGAGGCTGGCTGGTGTGGATGGGGCGGGGCAGGCTTCTCTTCTGGAGCCAGAAGCCCTGGGGCTAAGCAGACCCAGAGCAGCCCAGGCCAGAGGTGATGAGTGGGGGCATAGTAACCCTGCTTGCACTCCGGTGGGGCCTGGGAGTTAGCCTCCAAGGGGATGGGGATGCGTGCTGGCCTGGGCTCTACCTGCTGTGGTGACGCCTGCATTCCTGAGACCCGAGCCTTCAATCAGGAGTTCCTGGCACCCAAGCTGATCACTGTGCCCAGGAGGCAGGGTTGAGCCTGGGTGGACTTGTTGAACTGGGAAGTGGAAAGCGAGGTGAGGCCTGTGCCCAGGCAGCTCAGTACCTGTAAGACCTCCAGGTCAGCCAAAACCGGTTTGGCTCAATGGATAGAGTGTCAGCCTGCAGACTGAAAGGTCCCGGGTTCGATTCCGGTCAAGGGCAGGTACCTGGGTTTTGGGCCCATCCCCAGTAGGAGGTGTGCAGGAGGCAGCTGATTCTCTCTCATCAATGTTTCTAACTCTCTATCCCTCTCCTTTCCTCTCTGTAAAAAATCAATAAAATATATTAAAAAAATAAAAAGACCTCCAGGTCACACCCTCCACTGGCCCAGCCCCTCACTGTGAGGCCACCAATCTGTGGTTTGTTTCCCTTCCTCATTCCCTGGAGTAGCTGAGCTCATTCGTGGGTCACCCATCTCCCAAATACTTCAGTGTGTATCTCTGAAAAATAGGACATACTTCTCTACAGAATACAATTTCATTATCTCACCAAATAAAATAAGCTCTTATTTTCTAATGTTGTCTAAGAACCAGTCCCATTCATTCTTTCTAATTATCCCCAGATGTGTTTTTTATGGGTAGTTAGAAACCCCCTACCCCATCTATTTTCCTTCTTGCAGCTGGTGTAGTGGAAAAAACCAGGTCATTTGTCCCATAGAGTACCCTGCCTTCTTGGTCTCTTTGTGTGCTAATCTAGAACAGCAGTTGGCAGGCTTTTTCTGTGAAGGGCCAGATAGTAAATAATTTAGTCTTTGCAAGCTATGTGGTCTCTGTGGCAGCTACTCAAACTAGTTGTTTTCTTCTTCTTTTTTTAATTGCAAAAGCAGTTTTAGACAATATGTATATGAGTGTGGTTGTGTTCCCATAAAACTTGACAAAAAACAGGCAGTGGCGCTGGCTGGTTGGCTGGAGCTTCCTCCCGTACACTGACAGGTGCCTGTTCGGTTCTGGTCGGGACACGCCCAGGTGGTGGGTTTGATCCTCGGGCAGGGTGGGCAGGGTGGCTGGGCACCTGCGGGAGGCAGCGGATTGGTGTTTCTCTCATTGATGTTTCTCTCTCCCCTTCCCCCTCCCCTTATCTTAAAATCAATCAAAACAAAACAGGCAGCAGCTCTGTAGTCTGTTTTTTGCCCATCCCCTATCTAAAAAACTTATCTTTATTTTTCTTGCGGTTTGGAAAAAATAGCAAAACAGGTCAGTTGTTCTAAAGACTATCTTGTTTTCTGGGTGTGTCTCATTGCTTTCTTGTGGAGTCATTTAATTTGTTCCACTAACCTGTGTGTTTTCCTTAGGCCGGAAGTTGGAGCTAGGGGCTTGATTAGGTGCAAGGTAGACGTTTTGGGCAGGTGCTGTGTCCTTGTCACATCAGGAGATATCAGTGGTCAGGTTCCAATGTGGGTGAGGGGCGATTAACCCGTGCATGACTGGCTGATGTCACATCTCTCATTGCAAACCTGTGTCATTCCCCTAGGTCATCTGTTGGTGACACGTGAGCATCTGTAAGCATCTACTTCGGCTACCTTTTTCCTCCTGGTTTACCATCCACTGACTCACTGCCTCCAGCACAAGTTGGGGGTTGCAGAATTACTTGGCATTTGGTCATTTCTTTGTTATTTAATAGCGAGAATTCTTCTGTAAAAAAAGAGCTTTCTTTTAACCACCAGGGCAATTTCATTACGGGAAAGGCCAGGAGACAGGCTGAATTATTTCTCGTTATTGCCAGTTTTCAGAGTAAAGAGTTAGGGCATTGTCACTGTCAGTGGTGACAAATGAGGGTTTGGGTTTGTTTGTTTGGCTTTCTCTCTTCTTTTGTTCCTCATCTCTGTGACTGCTCCAGTTTTATGTATTCCATCTGTTTCCTTCAGTTGCACTCATTATTCTTTAAAAAAAATGTTTTTATTGATTTCAGCGAGAGGAAGGGAGAGGAAGAAAGGGATAGAAACATTAATGAAAAGAATCATCGATCGGCTGCCTCCTGCACAACCCCTACTGGGGATTGAGCCCAAAACCCCAACATGTGCCCTGACTGGGAATTGAACTGGGACTTTCTGATTCATGGATTGCCCAACCATTGGGCCACACTGGCAGGCTCATTATTTGTTTTGATGCTGAGATGATCCCAGCTCAGCGCACACAGGCTTCCTGGGCACCTCCGCTGTCCCTGCCTTGCAGCCTGCTTTTGGGGAGCTGAGCTGGGTAGGGCAGTCCATTTTGTAGGCATCTGTTCTGTATATGGCCCCGGTCAGTCACCAGCAGGAAAAGCTCCAAGGACACGTCTTATGTAAACCTCCAATCTTGTTCCCATCTAAGCATACTGTTGACTCTGACTGTTATTGGGTATATGACCTGAACACTGTGGACTCTGGCTACAGGAAGATACCCCCTTGGTGTCACCAGCTCTAGAACTGGCTCCTGGAAAGAGCCAAAGAAGTCCCTTCTTTTTCAGACTGCCCTTCCTGTCAGCCTCAGGTGGCCTGGGCACACGCGTCCTGTGCTGGCGCTTTGGCATCCAGAAGCTGCAGCGCCTGTGCCTGCCAGCTGGGCCCTGGGTCAATAGGGTGTCAGGCGGGGTGAGGGCTCTTGGTGAGTGTGGCATGTGGGGAGAGGAGTTGGGGGGCAGAGCTCCTTGTGCTAGAGCGTGCAGGCACCACTTGGGCTGCTAAGAGCAGCAGGGGTTTGGTCCTTCCTAAAGGGAGGTCTCTGTTCTCAGGCCATGGGTGGCCCTGATCCGTGCCTTCCCCCCTCCCTCCCTACAGGCTCCTGCTGGTGTCCTTGGAGCATGGGAGGCTGCTGAGCTTAAGCGGCAGGGTCCAGGAGCTGCGTGTCTCCCCCGTGGCAGGGAGGGCATCCATGGCTGCAGCCAACAAGGGTGAGTGCCTTCCTGGCCTGGTGGGGTTTGCAGGGTCTTCCAGCGGGTGCTGGTGAGGGGGGCCTGCATGGCTGTGTGTGTGTGTGTGGGGGGGTGGTGTCTGAATGTGAGCACAAATTACATCAGTAATTGCATCAGTGTTTATGCCAGGTCCTAGGGTACACTAAGTCCTAACAGGGAATGTGGGGACCCCTTGGTGTGCTGGTCTGTGCCCTCATGTCCCTGTGTTCCAGCCTCTTGCTGCACTGTGGGGGTTGGGAGGACATGTGGGGCTGGGGTGAGCACTGAGCTTGGCTGGGGTGAGCACTGAGCTTGGCGAGGTGGGTAGAGCCACAGAAAGGAATTTTGGTTTCATTCAAAGTCAGAAGGGCTCCTGGAAGGTTTTAGGCAAGGGAGGCTGGTGAGATTTAAGGGTCAGGTCTGGGGTCTCAGCAAAGAACGTGGACGTGCCAGGCTGGCTCCTCCAAGAGCCCAGGCCAGGGCGAGGCCAGGCCCTGCGCCAGAAGGACTCTGAGCAGGGCTCTGGGAGGCCTCGGGACCGTGGGGGCCAGAGAGGACTGGGGTCATGCTCTTGGTAAGACAGATCTCCCCCAGGACTGGCTCCTGCTATCTGCCTGTCTCAACCCTGCCTCCTGGCTTTGGAGAACCTGATCCCCCCGGCGACGGCTGAGGGTCTTGTGAAGGGTTACACAGAAGAGGGTGTCTCTGGGTAGGGTCCTGGAGGCTCCCCTGGGTTCTCCCATCTTTCCTGCCAGTGATCCGTGATGAGTTAGGGGCAGTGCAGCCTCTCCCAGCGGTGGGCTCAGTGTGGGGTTTGCCCCCCCTTTGTTTCTCCCACTCCCAGACAGGTCCCCAGGAGCCTGTTCCTGTCCACCCCTCACCTGGACCAGGTTGGGGTCATCAGGAGGAGCAGGCAGGGACCTCAGGCACAGGCATAGCTGGAAGAGAAGGTCCCAGAGATGAGGGGCGTGGCCCTGCAGAGGAGAACCAGGGGCTAGGTGAGAGTCTGGTTCTTGTCCGGTGTCAGCCTTCTTCCCTCTAAGTGAGGTGTGATGTTAGCCAATTCCCGACACCCATTCTTTGGGTATTTTTTGTGGGAGGACTGGGCCTCAAGCCTCATGATCCCCAGTGTCTGTCGGATGTGGCCTAGCCTCGAAAGGAGTTCAGCCAGCGAGTGCTGGGTGAAGGGCACTTGCAGGGCCTCGGGGAGCAACAAGGAGGAAGTCATTTCCTGGGGGCAGAGGAAGCCCGCAGTCCCTGGAGCCGTCTCCCGCTCTCGTCCTAGGCAACAAGCCCAGAGTCCGGAGTATCCGCTTTGCAGCCGGCCACGATGCGGAGGGCTCCCAGAGCCACGTCCACTTTGATGAGAAGCTGCATGACTCGGTGGTCATGGTCACCCAGGAGAGTGACAGCAGCTTTCTGGTTAAGGTATGTGCACAGCTCCCCCTCCATCAGTCTTACTTCCTCCACCTCCTCCTCAGCCCTGCTTGGCTGCCTGGGCCTGTCAGTTTCACATCCTCTAAGCTGCCTCCATAGGCATGTCTTTATCTCTCCCTGGGCCTCGGTTTCCCCATCTGTGAAGTGGGAGGTGATGAGATTGCAATGAGATGGTTGCATTTAGAATGTCACCTTGAATGAGGTGAGTGGAGTGGAGCCGTTATCATCTGCACCGCCCTAACAATAGCAATGGAAGGTGGGCGTCCAGGCTGTGGTGTCACAGGCTGCGTTCAGGTCCAGGCCTGCTAGTCAGGCTCTGTGACCTTGGGCAGTTCACCTCAGCTTCCTGTTCTCTGAAATGAAGACAGTTCACATCCCATAGGGTTTGTTGAGAATAAAATGGAAGAATGTATGTATGTTACACAGTTGCAAGACTGATTAATTATGCTAATAACAAGGCATGACTTTATTTTCCTTTTTTGCCAAACCGCTGGCTAATTCAGCCCCATGTTTTCTGCTCTTTGGAGCGCACCTCCTATTGGTCACACGTCACACACCCTCCAGTGTGGCTTCCCCAACTATGGGACACTGATGGATGCCACATCCACTTGGGAAGGGCAGGAGAAAGTCTCCGAAGGGAATGGATTGGGGGAAACAGAGAGTGAGGCCCTCAGGTTGGACAATTAACCAGGGCTCCAAAGTTAAGCAGAATGCCCGGGGGTGGGTGGCATCTGGTCCATCGAGTCCACCCTGAGGAGGGGCCCAGATTCATACCCATCTCTGCCCAATCCTTGTTCTTTCTCCTAGGATAACTTCCCCAAGGGAATAAACAGAATGAAATAAAACTTTAAAAAATAGCCCTGGCTGGTTTGGGTCCCAGGTTTGATTCCAGTCAAGGGCATGTACCTTGGTAGAGGGTTTGATCCACTGCCCTAGTTGGGACATATACGGGAGACAACCAATTGATGTGTCTCTCTCACAGTAACATTTCTGTCTTTCTTCATTCCACCCCTTTCACTCTGTCTGAAAATCAATGGGAAAAATATCCTTGGGTGAAAAAATCTCTCCCTCTCCCCCACTCCCCATTGCAAAATCTATCATGTTTATTACAGAAACTTTGGAAGATAGAGAAAACGATAAAGAAATTTAAAAGTACCCACAATTTTAGAATCTAGAAATAACAATGTAAATATTTTAATGTGTGTCATTCTAGTTTTTTTTATAGCTTTGTTTCTATAAACAAAAAGCTGGTATCACAGTATAACACTTCTTTTAAAAAATATATTTTTTATTGATTTTTTACAGAGAGGAAGGGAGAGAGATAGAGAGCTAGAAACGTCGATGAGAGAGAAACACTGACCAGCTGCCTCCTGCACACACCCCCTACCGGGGGTGTGCCCGCAACCAACGTACATGCCCCTGACCGGAATCAAACCTGGGACCTTTCAGTCCGCAGACCGATGCTCTACCACTGAGCCTAACCGGTTTCGGCTATAACACTGTTTTTTGTTTGCTTCTGTTGTGAACCGTCTCCTGCCCCTGTCAGTAAATCATTTTCCATGAGATTCTACAACTGTGTTCCATTATGTGTGTCATTGTTGATTTAGCTGGCTCCCTATTCCCTGTGTTACTGCTGTTTCTATTTCTCACTGTTGTAAAGAGGGCAGTGATGAGTATTTTTTTTGCACATCTCCGAGTATTTCTCCTGGAAAATTCTGCAAGTGGTGCAGCTCATCACAGGGCCATCCTTGGCAGTTCCAGCCAGAAAGCTTTCTTGAGAAGTGTGTCCTCCACTTGCAGAGTGCGGGAGCTACACGGACTGGGCTCTGTCACACAGTGGCATCAGCCTGATCCCATTGAAGGCTAATGTTTCATGCCGCCAACCCCAACTGGCCCCCAGGGACAGGGCCCTTGGGCCCCCGAGAGCATGAACAGAAGAGTGTGTGTGCATGTGAGCTGTGGGTACAGCATGCACCTCTGTGTCTCCTGGACTGGCACTCGGGCAGCCTACCTGCTCAGCAGCCACCCTGAGCTGGTGACCCTTCAAACTGGAGTTTCCAAGGATGGCATCTATCCCAGAGGGCATTGGTTGCCAAGCACTCGATGAACAACAGAAATTGCTTGGACCCTGAGTCGGGCCTGTTGGATACAGAGTGCCTTTGAGTGGGCAGGCAGGCATCCATGTTCAGATGATGCCAGCAGGCAGGCAGGAGCCTGGGTTCAGTGGCTGGTGCCAGGGCTGTGGGCCAGCTCTGGACTGGCACAGCTGGTCTCGTGTCAGTTTCTAATTCTATCCCAGCCTTCATTCTGTGCCTCCACGTGAGTGACTGGAGGACCAGTGTCCCTGAGCTAGGGCTTTTGGCTCTGGACAGGTGATAGTGATGGGGGCAGGTGAATGGCTCCTTCTGAGCAGTGGCTGGTACCTTGCTCTGGGCTGGCTGCTCATGGTAAGTGGGGCCAAGAGGCCAGTAGCCTATCATTTCCTGGCTTCCATTTCCTTGTCTGTAAAATGGGCTGCTGAGGAGCTGTGGGGCCCATGAGACAGATGCTCTCAAGTGTGTGGCCCAGCTGTGGGGTGAGGTCCTCAGGGAAAGACCTGGAGTCACCCGGCTTGGGGTGTGGACCAGATGGAGTGGAGGGGGCAGACTGATCCCCTAGGATCCCCAAGGAAACAGGTGCAAAGGCCCACAGGATCACAGATGGCATGACGTGGGTGGGCCCTGGGGGAGGCTGTCAGTGAAGGTGCTTCCTTCCTCCGCCCTTGCTGCTGCAGGTTGGCTTCCTGAAGATCCTGCACAGGTATGAGATCACCTTCACCCTGCCCTCGGTGCAGAGGCTGAGCAAGGACGTCCGAGAGGCACCCGTCCCCAGCCTGCACCTCAAGCTCCTCAGCATCATGCCTGTCCCAGAAGGTGCGTCCTCTGCTCAGGGTGCTGGAGGCTTGCCTTCCTCCCGCAGGGCCTGGGAGTGAATGGGAGTGAGACCATGGGATGCTCTTTGCCCCCCCATGGAGGGGGGACAGGCAACGCAGCAGCTGGGACCATGATGCCTTCTATACGGGCTTACGGTGTGGCAACCTGGCAGGTCCCTTGCCCCAGGCCTCACTCCGTGGACAGAAGCCCATGGACTCACACCGCTGGCCTGTGTCTGCCCCCTTGCCTGATAGCTCACTCGGCGGGATGATGGGAGCCGCTGAGGAGCTGGCTCTGGACCTTCAGACCTCCCTCCCTCAGGTCCCTCAAGAGAAGCCTGCTGGAGCCTTAGGAACTTCATGGCTCCCGCCTGGGCTTTGGGCCGGGGGCTGCCTCTCCCTGCCCTGCTAGCTTCAGCCCCCACCCTCTCCATAGGCTAGGCCGTCAGTTTCCTATGTGCCGAAGCCCCAGCTTCAGTCACATGTTCCCCCACCTCCTCATGACCTTACCCTTAAGTGGACTGAGCCAACCCCCTCAGGCCTTTGCCTCTTGCCACCTAATCTGCTCAAGTCCTGGCCTGTCCACCCCCTTTCCAATCACTCCCTCTTCCTGCCTGCTTTTCGGGGAATCCGCAAGCCTTCCTCCTAGAAGCCTAAGTCTGACCTTGGAACCTTAATGGGGTGGCCTACAGGCCTGAGGCATGTAGAGCTCTTCGAAGAATGGGAAATTCCTGAGGCCTGTGCCCCAGCCCTAGGGGCACGGGTCCGGGCCATCCTTGCTCTTTTGGGGGAGGGAGAGGATGAGGATGGGGGGCAGGGACTGGAGGCCATGGAGTTGCTGATTGCCCGGACAGGTTACAGCGTCAAGTGTGAGTACACAGCGCACAAGGAAGGCGTCCTCAAGGAGGAGATGCTGCTAGCCTGTGAAGGTGGCACAGGCACCTGTGTGCGAGTGGTGGTGCAGGCCCGTGTCATGGGTGAGAGTGCAGGGCATGCATCTGGCTAGGGGAGGGGATTCTGCCTTCCTCCTGTCTGAAAAAGGGCTCTTTGCCATGGCTGGGGTTCCCCACCTCCTTGGTGAGTGTCTCCACCTCTCCCCCCCCCTCTTCTCCCCCCCCCCCCCCAATAGAGCCCAGAGAGAAGGTGGAGGGGTCCTCTTGGAGTGGGTGGGGCCAGCGGTCCAGCCCGGCTTACTGACTTGAAGCCTGTCTTGCAGACCGGCACCATGGCACACCCATGCTGCTGGATGGTGTCAAGTGCGTGGGCGCTGAGCTAGAATACGACTCGGAGCACAGCGACTGGCACGGCTTCGACTGAGGCCCACGCCCCCCGGCCCACCTTGGGGCCCCTCAGCCTTAATCTCCACCTCATCTCCCCAGATGCTGCATGATGGTGTGGCTTCCTCATCAGCCCCTAGGATGGGCATGGGGGTGGTGTGTCTCGGGGCCTCCAAGCTGGGGCCTTGCCCACATCTCACCTCTGCCTTCATTCGTGCCACCTCCCTGCCCCTCCCGTGTCTTCCTCTTCCCACTTCCTCCTCTCCATGTGCCTCGGTCTCCTGCGGGAAGAAACGGGTTGAGCCCCAAGGAGGCTGTCTGAGGAGGGGCGGGGGAGGGGGAGGACCCAGGGTGGGTTTGCCTCTCCCTCCCCACTTGCAAGCCATAGGAGGTCCAGCCAGGGCCAGGGAGAGGAGGGAGCTGGCTCTGTGATGTCATCATTTCCATTACTGCTGCTGCTGTCTCATCTAAGCCACCAGCCCTGCCCCCTCCCTCTTTCCCACTGCTGTCTATGGTGAGTAGGAGGGAGGTGCGGTCCCAGCTCCCGCACCCAGGTGTGTGTGACTTGATTTTTAAACAATGGTTGGGATGATGAAATCCTAAAGAAATAAAACTTTCAGTGAATACCAGAGACCGGTGGGATTTTTGTTCTTCAGGGTCCTGAGAACGCCCAATCCCTAGACTATGGGCCAAGGTACAGTTCTGGCTAAGCTACTTTTAGGAGGCGAGGGAGCTGTGTGGTATTATAGTCCTAGTCCCCAAAGAGCTACCCTGTTTCCCCGAAAATAAGACAGTTTTTTCTTCCAAAGTTGCGCTAGGTCTTATTTTCAGGGGATGTCTTATTTTTGGGGAAACACGGTATCTACAGTGATGGCACTTTAGGCAAGAGAACAGTTGCCAAGAGAGTTTGGGTGGAGCGGGCCCTTCTGCTCAGGCCAGAGAGAGGTCATGTGGTGTGGGGGAGTTCTGTTTGGGATACTTGACAAGGAGACACCAGCATCCTCTTCCTGATCAGTGCCCAGCCCCATGCACAGCTGAAAGCTTTCTCCCTTTTTTTTCTGGAACTCAGGCCCCCTCTACTACATCACTGGTGCTCTCTCTTGTGAGGTACCAGCGCAAATGCTTTATTGTCACCTTGGGCAGGTAAGGCTGTTCCATGTCTGGGCGGGCATACTGGCACATTGAGTTGTCTGGCAGAGCTGAGACAGTCCTTAGTGTCCCCTTTGACCTCCTAATGTCCCTCCCCCATTTTGTGGCTGGGGTAGGGTTCAAGTGGGTCATTCACAGGTTGCCCTGGGGGCCTTCATCTGTCCCGAAGGAAAGCCCGCCCCCAGCATGCTACCCACATTCCCTCAGAAGTGCCTTCACCCTGTACACGTCTCATTAGCCTGCTACTGCCCTTTCTACAATTAACAGTCATACATGGGTGGTCAGCACCACCCCAGGAAGGCCCTGCCACCCCTGTCCCTCTTGTGTCACTTTCCTGTGGTGCGGGGCTGCTCTGCCCCCTCCCTGTGTGCCCACCAATCGGTCCCAGACAACCCCCTTCCTCCTGCTGCCCCTCCGCTATGAGTCTTGCCTGGCCTCTCCCTCCCAACTGCACCCACCCCCCACCCCCAGTTCTGGCCGGGACCCAGTCATCTGGAGCATTCTGCCTTCGGAGTCACGTGTTCCCTATGGGCGTGCCCATCAAGCCTCCTTGACCCCAGTCCTTGGCAGAGTCCTTCAGCCTTACAGTCAGTCTGGGCCGAGCCTCTGGATGTTTCCCCACCCACCCTCCTGCCACCTCATCTCCCCGGGCAGGAGGGCGGGGGAAGGAGCGCTGATACCAGAACCGGGATGTTTGCACGCCCTCCCGCGCTCCAAACCGAAGGTGGGCGGGGCCGGACGGAGCCCGGCTGGCACCGCCCCCCCCGCCCCCCGCGCGCCTTCAGTTGGAAAGAAAGTCAATGGAGGCTCGCACCGAGCGGTTGGTGCTGACGTCCACGGCGGTGACCTTAATTTCGGTGTCGCCAAACTGCATGGCGGCGCGGATCTCGCGGCGTCCGGGGGGCGCGCCGGCGGCGTCCGGGCCGCCGTCCGCGGGTTCGAGCTCGAGGTTGAGCGCGCCGCACTTGCGCACGCCGGGGTCGGTGATGAAGCGCGCGTCCTCGGCGGCGCAGCAGTACAGGTTGATGAGCACGCGCCGCTGGCCGGGGCGCGCCGGGCAGTAGCTGCGTCGCACCTCCTCGCCCAGCGCCACCGACTGCTCGGCCGCCACGAAGCGCTCGAACACGTCGGTGCACCAGCGGCGGCCGTCGCGCACCAGCAGCTTGTCGGGCGGGTGGCGCCCGTCCACGAAGCGGTTGAGCACGCCCACGCCGTAGGTGAGCGGCGAGCGGCGCACCCGCACCACGCCGGGCGCCTGGCCGAACAGCACGGCGCCCTTGAGGATGGTGAGGCCCACGTCGTGCGGGACCACCACGCGCAGCCCGCGGGGGCCCAGCGCCGCCTGCACCGCGTGCTGCAGCACCGCCGACTCGGCGAAACCGCCCACCAGGAACAGCAGCTTCACGCCCTGCACCTCTGGCCGCGCCAGCAGCGCCTCTGCAGGGGGGAGAGGGGGAGAGGAGGAGGGAAGGGGATCGGAGGGACAGTGTGAGCTGCTGAGGCTGCCATTGCGAGGCCACGGGCACCTCCTCCCCACCTGCCTGGCAATCAGGAACTAGCCATTGCAGCTATAAAAACGGTTGCCCTATTTTGATGAAGAAAACATTAAAATAGCTCTGCCTCCCCACCAATACACCCCTCCCCCACATAGAGGCCCTGAGGGGAGGCTAGGCACCTGATAAATGCCTTCTGCGCACAAGACTGAGCTCTTTAGATACTTCAGCTCCTTTAAATCCCCGTGATAACAGTTTTGGGAACCCGATACTATCACCCCATTTTATAAATTGGAAAACTGAGGCCGCAGAGGTTATTTAACTTGGCAAGCCTACACACAATCCCTCCTAGCTCTTATTTCCCAGCGCACCAACTCCTCCAGGGTTCCAGATGGTTCTGGGTCTCATTCCAGTGCATGGATGTGGGGGGTTTCCAGGCACTAACAGGCAGTCATTCTCGCATCTGTTAGGGTGTATATGTGGAGGGAATGGGGGACCCAGGCTCAGGCGCTCACCTATGTGTTGGATGATCCCTCTGACGGTGGGCTGGAAGAGCTCGTTCATGGCCTCACAAGTCATCCTGAGCATCCCTTGGGAGGACCACTTCACGAAGTTCACGCTGCAGGTGAAGGGCGTGCAGGTCCATATGTCAGGTTCCTGGGTACCACTGTGGGCCCGGGCCTGTGTGCCTGGGCGCTGACTGCCCCTTATGTGTTATCCCAATCCCCACTCTCTCGGGGGCTTCAGCCCGGGCCCGCTTCTGTTACAGGCATGAAGTTCCGGGTGTGTGTGTGTGTGTGTGTGTGTGTGTGTGTTTGTAGGGGGGGAAGGGGGAGAGAAGGTAGACGTTGGTCCTTTTCCGAGGCCCATGATTCCCTTGCTCCGGTTGGGCCGCTTAGTCTAGCTGGCCTACTCCTGCACTGCCCCTGCTGCAGGGCTGGCAGAGCGGTGCGAGCCGTGCCGTAGGCTGACTCCCACTGCCCGCTGCGGCCTGCACCTCCCTTTAGGGGCCTTCCCCATCCGAGCCCAGGGCCCCCAAGACCACCTGCTCCTGCGCAGCGCCGTCTCCACGTTGTGGCCGCGCTGCTTGCGGTAGAAGTCGATGAAGGAGAAGGGCAGGGAGATGTTGAGCGCCCCCGCGCGGTGAGGGCCTGCCGTGCGTTTGCGGGCTTCGAAGGCGATGGTCAGATCGACCCAGGCTGCGGGCCGCTGCCTTTTGAAGGTGGCAATGAAGTCCACGCCGAAGATACGACCCAGCAGCTGCTCGAAGGCCAGGTCCACGCCCACCGCGCCGTAGGGGCCACCTGGGGCGGGGCAGGGGATGAAGGCACCAGTGCAGGCGTGGCGGCCAGAAGGCACTGGCGGCTGGGTATGGAGGGCGCCGCCTGGCTACTCACCGGACGCCTTGTAGAGCTCCTTGAGGGTGCCATGGGGCTGCTCCAGCTGGTGCACCGTCAGGTCCACCGTGCCGCCGCCGCAGTCTGCCACCACGTAGCGGTCTCCTGCAGCGGAGCGCGAGCCCACCCTCGTGGCCTGCCTTGTACCCCGAGCCCTGCGCCTCCTCCCAGCCAACCTCCAGCCCTGCTCCTAGCAGGTCGGAGTCCCGCTTGCAGGGATGGCCATGTGGAGGTGTGAGAGGCTTCAGGTTCTTGGAGCTAAGGCCGCCGGGTAAGAGCATGAGGTATGTGTATGTGTGGGGTGTGGGGGAGGGGTATGGTCCAGGGCTCTGCAACTCTGCAAGGAGCATGCGTTAGGGGCATGGCTGTGAGTGGGGTGAGGGTGCAGGTGACTGTGAAGGGACTGCCAGGTTAGATACAGCAGATGTTGGCGGGAGGGGTTTTTAGGAGCTGGAGCCAACTTCCTGAATGTTCCCTTCCAGCTATCAGTGTATAGGGGCCTGTAGGGCCCATGCCATATCCCGTCCCACCTTCACACCCCTGCCCCCCTCCCCCCCCATCTCCCCACCTGCTTGCAATTCTGCCCACAGCTCTCCGACCCCCGACTCCACCATGAATGTGCGGCTGTGGCGGGACCTTCGCAGCTGCTCGCGCGCTGGGGGCGGAGGGGGAGCAGGACAGGGAGGTTAGAAGGAGGTGTCTCAGCTGCCACACTCAATCCTCATCCTCCCGCCAACGCCTCCATGAGCTCCTGGAACAGCCAGCGCTCCTGACACTCCTGCTCCACTCCTGAATGGAAGGGGGGTGCTGACCCCCTAAGGGGCTGAAGGAACCTGATGGGATCATCTCCTGCTCTGTCACTGGCAGCTGCGGGGAAGTCTTTCTGGCTGCAGGGCCAGGGCTCAGGCTGTGGAGAATCAGGGCTGGGAGAGTCTGAAGGAGCTGCGTGTGTGTGTATGTGTGTGTGTGTGTGTGTGTGTGTGTGTGTGTGCGCGCGCGCAGGGTAGGTCTCGGGGGACCCGGGGAGCTCAGGACTTGTACCTCTCCTGTCACAATAAACAAGGCTGACTGTAGCTGTCTCAGTGGTTGGTCCTGCAGCAGGAGCTTGGGGCTTGTGTGGGGGGTGGAGGGGAGCAGCTGATGTGCCATGAGGGGAGGGGAGGGTCCAGGGGTTGTTTAGGGGAACGCGCCTGAAGACCTCCCCTTGGCCCAGAGGGGGCTGACTTCCTCCTTTGTCAGTACCCAAGCACCCCTCCCCAGGCTACGCTATCTCCCCAGACCCCAAACTCGGGGCAAGGCTGGGTCCCCCTCCTCAGACAGTACTCCCCTAGGGCAAGGGGAACCCTAGTCCTGGGATTGGGCTCCCCAGGGTCATGGCTGTGCCTCCTCATTCCAACTGAACTCCAGGCGGGGTACTTCTGCCCTCTCGTGGGCTTCTCCAGAAAGGGGGGGGTGGGGGGCGTCTCCTTCCTGCCGGACAAAGCTGAGCTCTGGTCTCGGAGGCCCTGGGATGGCTCACCTTGTCGGAAGCTGGAGTCGATGGAGCGGCGCTCGCCCAGGCGCCCGCTGCCCGGGGCCCGGCAGCTCAGGTCCAGGAGCTGGTGCAGGCGCAGCTTGCGGCAGTACACCGAGGCCGCCTCGGGCTCCAGCGCGATGAGCAGCTGCTCTGCCGTGTCTCTGGACACCAGGCCCGCCTGGAGACAGGTTGTGGGCGGGGCCAGGAGCACCGTGGGCTGTCACACCTAGGACGTCGCCCAGGGCAGGCGCCCAGGGCCTGTGGCGCCCCCATCTCCTCCCCATCACCCTCCCCTTCAGGCCCCTCCATGCTGCACAAGCCTGGAGCTGCCCACAGGTCCCCGTGAAGAACACCATGGGGTCGCCCAGCAGGAAGGGGCCCTGGACAGAGTGAACACTTAGGGCACCTTGGCATCTGGCCCGCTGAGCTGTCCAACGTGGCCTGAGCTGCAGCAAGTCCCCTCCTCAGGAGCAGGGCTGGCTGGCCAGCTGGGCACTGGCCGAGGGTGTTAGTGGAGACTCTGGCATAGTGTGTGTGTGTGTGTGTGTGTGTGTGTGTGTGTGTGTTGGAGGGGACAGGAAGGGGGGGTGGTAATGGGGGGGTACAGTAAGTAATGGGCAGACCATCGATCTAATGAGATGGGGGACCCCCCTTGGCTCACTGAGCCCTCCCCCTTCACCAGGCTGGTGGCACAGCGGCCACAGGAGGACTCTGTTCCTGGGCACTCTCATGTGGGAGGAAGGAAACGCCTAGTGAAATTCCAGGCACCACGACAGGCCATTTGGGGGAGACAACCATTTGGGAGCCGTTATTTCCTGCATTGGGATGGGGGAATCCCTGTGGATTCTTTTATGATTTTGTGGGATTCCCTGGATTCTGACAGGGGGGTGGGGTGGGGAGGGGTAGGTTACCAGACTTCCTGCCAGGGCCAGCCCTTCCTGAGCTGGCAGCCAGGGAACGGTGTGGGAGGAAGCAGAGTGGGTAAACTGGCAGGGGGAGGGGCACTATGGCTGGGGCAGGGGAATGGGGGGGAAGAGGAGGTGCTTGTTCTAGCTGGGCACAGCCTTGCTTTCATTCTGGTCTTTGCAGGGGGATGCCCACCAGGCTTAGGGTGAGCACAGGCACCTGGGCGTATGCCTGACCCACTGGGGACCCTGGTATCCTCCACAGAGTCTTTAGGCAGTCCCGAGACCCCTTTTGTAGATCCTAGGGTGTCCTCCAAAGCCCCAGGGTCAGGACCGCAAAATGAGTCTTGCTCTGGAAAGCTGTTCCATTTTCTACCCCCATCTCTACTAGAGAGGGGGTGCCCGAGCTCCACCCATCCTCCCCAGACCTTTGGTATCTCTTCTGGTAGGAAAACCAGCGAACACTGGTCCAGAACCCCTCCCTTCAGTTTCCTGTGCTCAGGAGCTTGCAGTGGTTGGGGCTGTGATGGTGATGGGTTCCTGAAAACACTGATGCTGGATGGAGCGGATGCTCGCAGTACCCTGCCCCGCACCCGGGAGTGTGGCTGCTGTTGGCTCACAGCCGCCTCCTTCTCTGGAGCTGCCCTCAGCCGAATGGGAGCCACCTCGCGTGGAGAGGACCCCCCTCTACCCAGTAACCAGTAACAGACGCTGGCCCCCTTGCCTCGCCGTGGCCAACACGGGGGTGCAGTTCCCCCTCCGGAGCTCGCCATGGGGTCGGGCTGAGGTCACACTCCAGTTGAGACCACATCTCTGCTCAGCTCTTTCTCCTGTCCTACTCCCCCACCCCTTTCTCCTGAGTGTCCTTCAATAGATCAATGCACAAGTCCCATCCTGGGCTCTGCTTTTAGGAAACCCGACTTAAGACACTGGCTAAGCTGGCCTGGGCAGTGCCTCTCGTCCCTCAGTCCCCTGTTCCTGCAGCCACCTCCCTCCCCCAGCGGCAACAAAGGGCCAAAATGCCCAGCAAGTCACAGCTGGAGGTCTTCCCACGAGGACTCTCTGTCCCAGGGCCGCGCAGGAGGGGATGCGTGGGGCCCTCCCTGGGGCATCTCCCGGGCAGCAGCCACGGCTCCGCCTGCACGTCCTCACCAGGTAGGCGGCCTCCCGCATGAACTGCTTGGCGGGCTGTTTCCAGATGGCGGGCACCGTCAACACCCAGCGCACAGTGTCCTTCTCGGGCAGCGATGGGCACTGCTCCCGCAGCTCCTGCAGCGGGAGGGGCAGTGGGATGAGGGGCAGTGGGATGAGGGGCAGTGGGATGAGGGGCAGTGGGATGAGAGGCAGTGGGATGAGGGGCTGGCTCCAGTGGGTGTCTTCAGCCCTCTGTGGGAGCTGGAAGAACTGATCAAGCCTCAGGAAGAGCTTCCAGCAGAATCGGGAAAATCCCTAACACTAACCCCTCCACCAACACCTCTATGGCACATGCCAGACGAGAAGGCAGGGCAGTGGAGAAGATGACCTCTGACCTCTGACCGTGGCAAAGGGGAAAGGGTGGGCCTGGGGGTGGAGCCGCAGCGCACCTGGAGAGCATGCTCCTTGAAGAAGCGCAGGGCATGGGCGAACACCTGCAGGGCAGGCATTTTCTTTCCATTGACGGCCTCCAGCTGGGTCTTCAAGGTGAGATCCTGGCAGGGACACAGGGCCGCTCTGCAGAAGGCCGTAGTTCTGCCCCATTTCCTGACGACCTCGCTCTTAAAATCACCCCATTTCCTGGCGCTTATCCTCTTGGGCATCGTCCCACTAGCTCTATAATCTCCCTTTCCTTCTGTCTCTTTAGCCCCGCCTCTCCTCTAACCATATCCCATATCCTCACCCTCAGCCACGCCTTCATCCCTTCCTTCCTTTCAAGCCTCCGTCCTCTTAGCCACCACACCCGCCCCCCCCCCTCCTTGTCCACCCTCTATTAGGTCGGCCCCTTCCCCTCCTGACCCCGCTTCCCCGGCTGGACCTGGTCCTGAGCCGGGATGTGACTCACCGTGGCGCTGTGGATCTTCATCTTGAACTTCTCGAAGTAGAGCCAGTCCCGAGCCTCCTCGGGGTCCAGGTCGTGGTAGTAATCGCGGGCGGTGTAGCCAAAGCTGTGAAAGGCGCCCTCCGGGGTCAGCAGGAGGCAGGTGGGGGTCTTCTGGTGCGCCACGCCTGGGTCCCCGCCCTCCCACTTCCTGTAGAGACAGGGCTATCAGTGGGGTCAGTGGCAACCCTCACTTGGGGGGCGGGGAGGGTTGCATAAAGGCTTTGGGGCGAGCTGTGTGACCTTGGCAGGCCACTTAGCCTTCCCCAGTCTCAGTCTTCACTACTGTAAAGTGGGGATAATAATAGTACCTGCCTCTTAGGGTTCTTGTGAAAATAAAGATGGAGCTTGGAATCCAGTTAGACTTCCATGAATGCTGCTCTTGGATCCTCCCTATTCATGGGGCTACGGGATGCACCTGGCATTCTGGGCTCCCTTTGTCATTTGACCTCAAATAACCTCGCCTCCCTGCACCCTTAACATGAAGCAGCCAGCCATCATCTGTCCATCTGCCTGGGTCTGGCTTCCTGCCGTGTCTCTCCAGCATCCTAGCAGAGGCCTTCTCCCAGCCAGCTAGTTCGCCTCGCTCAGGGCCGTCCTCCACAGCCAAGCTCCTTTAAGGCATTCGCGACATTCCTATCTGACCCCAGCTGACATCTGCCAGGTCCCCCCAAACCTGAATGACATTCCAAACCTCCGTATTCACAGACACATGCAGACCTCCACCCAGAACTCCCCGCCTAATTCTCTGACCTGGCGATCTTCTCTGATTTCCTGACTCCTCCAGGCCCTGTTTGCTCCTGTGGCCCTTTGGGGAAGGTACTGGGAATCCAGGTGGAAGCACAGTATGCGCAAACGCTTAGAGATGTGAAATAACAGGAGGACTAGCTGTAGGTGAGCTCAAAATGCAGCAGGAGAAAAGACAGGAGTGTTAAGGTCAGCTAAAGAAGACCATCAAATGCCGTGTCGGAATTCTCTCTTGCCGGGGGTGAGGTGGGGGAGTGAAGAGGCATGACCACAGTTGCCTTCAGAAAGGTCACAGGAGTCCATGTAGCAACAGCCTGGAGGGGAGGGAGGATGGAGAATAAAAACTGTCCAGGTGAGAGAGGGTGGTGGCCATGCAGAGAAGTGGATGGTACTCCAGAGATATTAAGGAGACAGAAACGATGGCACTTGGTGGCTGGTAGGGGTGGGGAAGGCTTGGGAGGAGGCCAGGATGTCCCCCAGTGACTTCCTGCGACTGTCACCTCCACAGGACAGAGGCAGTGTCCCTTCGTGTGTCCTTGGCTCCGCATGGGGCACAGCGTAGCCTCCGCTGCTCTGTGCTGGCCCTAGGGGACCGTAGATGCTCAGAGCCTCTGTGGCTTCATGTGGAGATGGGGGAGCAGAGAAAGGGGAACGACAGCCCAGGCTCCTGAAGGCCAAGTCCCTGTATCTGTGGGGCAGTGACCTTACCATCGGCCTCTCCATCCACCCTTCCATCTGCCTCCGGGGCCCTGCGGGTGCTCCTGATCCCCCATTTCAGTCTGGGTTGGGAGTTTTGGGGCCTTCTATACTCTACCTATTGGCAGCAGCCTCACTAAGATACACTCTAGGATCAGGGTTTGCAGGTCTGGAGGGAGTGTTTAAAGAAATGTTTTGTTCAAATAAACTCAACACCAGGATGGATTTTTTGACCATCTCTTTCATTACGACTGTGTGACTTGTGCAACTTGGTTAGCCCTCTGATCCTTCATGTCCTTGTTTTTCATTTGAGATGTTGGACTTAGGAATCTGCCTCTAGGAATCTACTCCATAGAAACCCCAGCACAAGTTTTCAAGGAAGGAGATTCCTTGCAGCATTTTTTTGTAATAGTGAAAAATTAGAGAGACTCCCCCCCCCAAAACACACACACACACACACACACACACACACACACAACTATCAGTAAAAGAATGGATAAATTTTGAAACATCCATACTATGCAATACTATGCAACTGTTAAAAGAAAAGTGATAGCTTTATGTATTGACATGAAATGTCTACAAAACAGTGAACTCGGTTGGGCATCATGCTGTACACCAAAAGGTGGCCAGTTCAATTCTGGTCAGAACACATGCCCTGGTTTCAAGTTCAATCCCAGTAGGGGGCGTGCAGGAGGCGGTCAACGAATGTTATGCTCTCCCTGTACCTTCATCTCTCTCTAAAATCAATAAAAAATAAAAATAAAGAAGGCAAATTGTGTGATATCCCACTTTTATTTGAAACAGGCATACACACACACATATATTCATACATATATGTGTGTATGTGTTTGTAAGCAAGCCCAGATATTTGTGTACTTTCCTGAATTTTGTTATATCTCAATAAAATGTTTTAAAATTAAAAACAGAGCCCAGCCAAAACCGGTTTGGCTCAGTGGATAGAGCGTCGGCCTGCGGACTGAAAGGTCCCAGGTTCGATTCCAGTCAGGGGCATGTACGTTGGTTGCGGGCACATCCCCAGTGGGGGGTGTGCAGGAGGCAGCTGGTCGATGTTTCTCTCTCATCGATGTTTCTAGCTCTCTATCCCTCTCCCTTCCTCTCTGTAAAAAAATCAATAAAATATATTAAAAAACAAACAAACAAAAGAATCAGAGCCCAACGTTTCCTGCAGAGGGCAGGGGACTGCTCCAATGGAGGCGGGGGGCACAGGCCAAGGGCCATCCTCCAGACTTTTACCTCAGAGGGGAGCCCAGACTTGGGGTGGCAGGAGCTCTGAGGGTACCTCATGTCTCCTCAGTGACAGGACTTCTGGGACCAGGCCCAGCCCTTCTTCCCCCACCCAGTCTCACAGCCAGGGGCCCTCACCTCATCATGTGGATGGCCTCAGGGTCGCTGGCGAAGCTGAAGGCATAGCCACTGGAAGTGGTCCCGAAGTCGATGGCCACCACCACAGAGAAGGAGGCCTGCTGGGGGGCTCGGGCCTCAGGCTTCTGCAAGTGCAAGACCTAGGAGTTAGGGAGCAGCCCAAGGGCCAGGCTGGGCGTAGATGGGAGTCCCCCCTCTTTCCTGGCTGAGGCCCAGCCCATTCCCAGTTCACCTCCTCCTACCTGCCTGCCTGGGCTCCTCTCCCATCCCAGGCTCCAGGCTGATCCCCGGAGATGCCAGCTGCCTCCCAGGTAGCCCTGCGCAGCTGTTAGCTCAAGCTCCTGCTTCCCTGGCTTCTGGTTCTCTGCCCACCTTCTGTCTGCACAGCCTTAGCCCACCGCCATCTCACACCATCCCACAGCCCGGGGCCAGCTGGGAGCAATTACGCTGCTCCTGGCAGTTTCACAGCACAGGGCCTGTGTGTATTTGACCCCGCTGCTCTTTGCGGCCACAGTGGCACAACCAGACGGTCGGCTTTGTGGCAGAGGAGAGAGGCCCCATGCACGTGCCCAGAGTGGCCCCTGCCTTCTCCCAGGCCTGGCTCCCTGAGAACAAAGGGGCCCCCCAGGCTCGATAATTTGGCTGAGGCTGTCTGGGGTGACATGACCCAGCGAGCTTGGGGGAGGGTTATGTCCTGGATAGTTCAAGCTAGTAATTTCCAAACCATGTATTTTTAAGCAGTGTGTCTCCCCTTCCTGAGGTGGGGCTATACTAGACAGGAGGGGGGTGGGTAACTCTGGGAGGGCCAGTGCAGACCCTGAAAAAGCCATATGCTCAGAAACACGCCCGGCCCAGGCAGGTGAGCTGCAACAGCCCCTGGGTGGCATCCCAGAGCAGGTGTTTGGGTGTCGGTACTGGGGTTCACCTCAACAGAATCGTTACCCCTTAAAGTGCAAGGTCACATCAGGTTAACCCTTCTGCAGAGAGCAGGACTGGGGGTGCTGGGGCAGGAGGCACAGTGGTACCCCCCAGCCCTGTCCCGGCCCTGCCAGGTCCTGTTTTCTGGAGCACCTCCCCGCCTCCCCCCGCCCCCAGCTCCACACCACTCGGGCCACCCACCACACAGACCCCACGCCAGGCTTACTGGAGACTGCGAGGGTGTGAGGGGGGCAATGCCACAGCTTTCCTGGGTCCTTGGGGAGCCGGGTGGGCTGGGAATGGGGGACCGCTCTGGGCTGGAGCCTGCAAAGAGAGGGGAGGTCATTGTGGCACAATCAGGGTAGGGCCGCAGGCCTGGGAGGTTCTCCCATTGGTCCTTGCTGGGCCAAGGCAAGGGTGCCCTGCTGAACAAGGGGGATGGGTAGGAGGGGAGGAAGGATGAGACTGAGCAGGGACACCTGAGGCAGGAGCAGGCTGAGGGCTTATTATCGGCCAGAGGTGACCATCCCTGGAGGATGACCCATGCCTCACCGGGGGACTCCTCATCTCCCCCAGCACCCCTCAGACACAGTGGTGGAGGGGAGAGGCAGAGAAGCAGTGTGTAGGGGTTTAGACAGAGTGCAGAGACAGAAGAGCAGTAGAGAGGGGGTGGTGAGCTCCTGCCTGGGGTGGGGTGGAAGGTGGAGAAACCAGGAAAGGTGGGCCCCCTAGAGTCCAGCCACACGGTTCTCAGAACCTGAGAGAGCAAATCGCCTTCTACTACCGTAGGAAAGATGCGTTAAAAGATCTTGCCTGGAAAGTATTAACCCACCCGCTGTATTCACCAGACTTCCCTCCTTCAGATTACCACTTGTTCCGATCGATGGCACACACACTTTCTGAGCAGCACTTCAAAACGTAAGAAGAAGTGGAAAATCAGGTCTCTGAGTGGTTTGCCTCAAAAAAAGAAAAGTTCTATTGGGACGGTATCCACAAATTACCTGAAAGATGGGGAAATGCGTAGCTAGCGATGGATATTACTTTGAAAAAAGCATTTTTGATGTTTCTCTTGAAATTATTGTGTGTTTTTTTCTATTACAAAATCCATATTAACCGATTAATAATGCAGATTGACTATTAACAGGTTAATAATGTGGATTAGCTGTTAACCGGCTAAAAATTCAGATTGACTATTAACCAGTTAATATTGTGGATTTTGAAAACACGATAATTTCAAGAGAAACATCAAAAGTGCTTTTTTCAAAGTAATGTCCATTGCTAGCTACACATTTCCCCATCTTTCAGGTGATTTGTGGATACTATCCCAATAGAGCTTTTCTTGTTTTGAGGCAAACCATTCAGAGACCTGATTTTCCACTTCTTTGTACGATTTGAAGTGCTGCTCAGAAAGTGTGTGTGGCATCGATCAGAACAAGTGGTAATCTGAAGAAGCAATACAACAAAATAGCATACATATCAAATCACATATATATCAACATATGTGTAACTCCATCTATTGAAAAAATCCACATCATACACCGTACCCCTAGTATTTCCCCAAGGGCCAAAGATAGGCCCAGCTGGCTGCCTGTGAGCATCAAGGCAAGGCAGCACCCCCCGACCCCTCCAACAACACATACGCATGGAGCCAGCATTGGGGACATGGGGCCCCATTGAGCCTCTCTCACAGGCCCAGAACTGAGCCAGACCTTCAGTGGAAGGAAGGAAGCAACATAGCCCCAGAAGGCAGCCCAAAGCCTGGCTTGGAGGCTCAGGCAGCTCAGGGGTCTGTCTGCTAGACACCTCCCAGGTGTGGGCTGGTGGCCTGTCCCCACCACTCGGCTTTCCTAGGGTTCCCGTGAGGAGGACTGGGGCTGCCCTGAGATTCCAGCATGGGGATAAGGGGATGATGGAGTCTGACATAAAGAGCCATAGACAGCCAAAACCGGTTTGGCTCAGCGGATAGACAGCCTGCGGACTGAAAGGTCCCACGTTCGATTCCAGTCAAGGGAATCCAATGTGTACCTTGGTTGTGGGCACATCCCCAGTGGGAGGTGTGCAGGAGACAGCTGATAGATGTTTCTTTCTCATCGATGTTTCTAACTCTCTATCCCTCTCTCTTCCTCTCTATAAAAAATCAGTAAAATATATTTGAAATTAAAAAAAGAGCCATGGACAAAGCAAACTGGCTTCAGGCTGAGCCAGGGCCCAGGGCTGTGCTCCCTCAGCGGCTGCCCTGGCAGCTCCCAGCCCTTCCTGCCTGGGGTACCCTGGGAACATGTGTGAGGGCAGGAAGGGAGGGGGACTCTAGAAAGTGCCTGGACAGGGCAGGAGTCTGTCCTGGGGTGCTGGAGAGGCAGGGACACTTTGGTCACAGCCTCAGGGCCCCTTTCCTCAGGTGGCCAACATGGGCTCAGTCAGGCCCTGCCGCCAGCTCCAGCTTGAAGGGCCAAGGCGCTGTGCGGCCTGAGCCTGGGAAGGGAGGCAGGAAGGAAGGCCCAGCCCACCAGGTCTTTGTGAGTGGACTTCCTGAGGAGTGTCCCTCCTGCCTCCTGGCCTCCCGCCCCTGCACACACACACACACACACACACACACACACAGAATTCTGTGCACATGGACCTACTTGCAGATATACACAATCTCATACAAGGCCCAGTGCACAGAGATCTGCCCACAGCAAACAGATAGACAGACACACACACACACAACTAGGTCCTGTACACACACAAAACATGCACATGCATATAGAGTCCTTTGCACACAGAATTTCTCTGCGCGTACACACACACACACACACACAGTCCCATGAACATATATGTCATGTGTGCACACAGGAGTGAATACAGGAGTGAAGTGTGCACAAACACACACACTTACATACACAGTCCTGTGTGCACTAATCCTAGCTGCACACACACACACACACTCTCAGGAACTTCTCCTGGGAGAGGTACCCCTATCCAGACAAGGGCAAGAGGAGGGTGGGTGGGGGCAAAAGTGAGGGATTCTTACCGATGTACAGCCCCTGCAGGCCCATCTCCGGGACAGCCAGCATCTTTGCAGGCCCTGAGGCTGTGAACAGGAACAGACATGCAAATGACATTTATTTGTTCCTTTGTTCCCTCATTGAATGCTTACTTGTTTTATTAATTTCTTTTGGCTGGAGTCTTTTGAAGCAAACAGCAGACGTCATATTGTTTCACCTATAAATTCTTCAATATGTCTCTCCAACAGATAGATTGTTAAAAACATCACCACAGCACCATTACCATGTATAACAAAATCAATTCCTTAATCTCATCTAATGCTCTGTCCACAGTCCCAGCTTTTCTCCAGAAGGTCTTTTTTAACAGTGGCTTTGTTGGAATCAGGATGAAAACACATGTTTTTGGTGCTCGCTTTGTGCCAGGTGCTGGGGGACATCAGAGACAGACCCGAGAGACACTGTCTCTGCCCCAGGGAACTGATTATAATCAGATAAACACCCATGTGGATCTGAGATTACAAATGATGCAGCCAAGGTCACAGCTGGTTACAAGCAGAGAGGAGAGCATGGTAAGGCTGGAGAGAGGGGCTGGCCTGGCCCCTCGCGGACCCTATTTTATTTATTTATTTATTTATTTTTAATATATTTTATTGACTTTTTACAGAGAGGAAGGGAGAGAGATAGAGAGCCAGAAACGTCGATGAGAGACAAACACCGACCAGCTGCCTCCTGCACACCCGCTACTGGGGATGTGTCTGCAATCAATATACATGCCCTTGACCGGAATCGAACCTGGGACCTTTCAGTCCACAGACTGACGCTCTATCCACTGAGCTAAACCAGTTTCGGCTTGTGGACCCTATTTTAGATTTGGTTTCACATGAAGGGCAACAGCAAATCTTGAAAGTTTTTTTTTTTTTTTTAATATATATATTTTTTATTGATTTCAGAGAGTAAAGGAGAGGGAGAGAGAGATAGAGACATCAATGATGAGAGAGAATAATTGATCGGCAGCCTCCTGCAGGTCCCACACTGGGGACTGAGCTCACAACCTGGGCACATGCCCCAACCGGGGCTCAACCATGACCTCCTGGTTCATAGGTTGATGCTCAACCACTGAGCTACACAGGTGGGGTAGTCTTGAAAATTTTGAAGCGGCCGAGTGGAGGAGGTGGGGGCATGACTGGGTTTGTGTTTTTAAAAGTTCCTTCTGCCGAAACCGGTTTGGCTCAGTGGATAGAGCATTGGCCTGCAGACTGAAAGGTCCCAGGTTCGATTCTGGTCAAGGGCATGTACCTTGGTTGCAGGCACATCCCCAGTAGGAGGTGTGCAGAGGGCAGCTGACTGATGTTTCTCGCATCAATGTTTCTGACTCTCTCTCCCTCTCTCTTCCTCTCTGTAAAAAAAATCAATAAAATATGTTTTTTAAAAAGTTCCTCCGGCTGTATGGGGTGTGGACTGCAGTGGGACAGTATGGAAGCAGAAGCACAACCAGGGCTCCAGGAGACTGATGATGCTCCTGGCTGGGTATCTTGAGACAGAAGTGGATACAATGAAGTTATAGGTTAAAACCAACGGGGCAGATGGAGGATGGCAGGGTTAGACATGGGGATTAAGAAGAAGTTGTCGTGGATGACAGTATCTGACTCAAACTGGCAGACGGGTGGTCAGATGGAGAACAGTGGAGAAGGGCAAGCTCCCCTGACCCCTCCCCTCCCCACAGACACAGGCTCGCAGGGCGCCAGGGGCAGTGTTCTGGGTGGAGTTCGGGAACTGCTGAGGGAACAGACCAAGGGGCCAGGGGATATGTGATCTAGAGGTCAGGGAGAAGCTGAGGTGGAGATGGGTGCCTGGGGGTCACTGGCAGAAAGCAGAGTGGGGGAAGGGAAGGGAAAGGACCCTTCACATAAAGGCTGACTCCGGGAAGGTGGGCCGGCCCAGGAGACCCAGATGCTGCTGTGGTTTCATGGCATCTCAGTTGTTAGATGAGACTGGAAACACCTGTTTGAATGGCCCAGGGCTGCATTTTGGTGGAAGGAGGAGGAGGGGTGGGAGTCAGGTAGGCTAAGGTGAGGAGAGAGCAGAGGGTAGGCAAATGGAGCTCGCACTTCCAGGAAGATGGCCGAGATCAGGAGCTGATGAATGCGCAGTATCCGGAGGAGCATAATGCTTAAGGGGAGCTGCCCAGAGCCCACTCCCTCTCTGTAGCCAGGAAGTTTTGCCAATAGAACACCAACAGACACAGGTGGGCACTGTCATACCCCTCCCCTGCCCTCCCCCCGCCCACATACACACATGCATCCTGGCTAATGCACAGTTCACAGAACTCGGCCCCATCATGCATAGACATCCAGACAAGTCCAGGAGACTCCCACATGGCCAGCACCATGGAGATTTCCAGATACACTCAATCCTGCTCTCATTGGAGGTGCAAAGTTGGATATGCAGGAATCAGAATCAGGAGGAAAGACAGGGGCGGGTCATGGGTGTTCATAGAGCAGCTGGGTGATGCCGAGAAAAGGAAAGCAAATAGACAGGGTGGGTACAGGCTTTGAGAGCCAGGGACAGGAGCCCAGTTCAGGGTGATGGAGTGGCATGCTGAGCTGATTCCCACCGGCTGGCAAAACCAGGTTCTCTACATCTCTTCCCAATTCCACATTCATTGGCATCACATCGGTAGCTTGAAATCGGCCATGGTGGGAGCATTTATACCACAGAAATTGGCAAACAGAAGCTGGCAGCCCTATTTGTACATCGTTTCAATTCTTCAGCAAAAACTTATTGAGCATTTCTTTGTGCCAGGTTCTGAGCTAAGTGCCGGAGAAACACTTTGTTGAATGAATGGATGGATTTTCTGGAACAAGGCTATTGTATCTGGAGGAGAAATAATCTAGAACCACCAGGAAAAGAGTCAGGAGTCGTCACTGTAAGCCTATAATCTCCCCAGCTGTCTGAAGCGGGCCCAGTTACCTCTCATTTCTGAGTGTGTGATTCACTGAGTGCCTTACACTGGGCTCTCAGGGCTGGCAAGGACCTATTATGGCACCTGGGTGGAGTGTATCCTGGTTGCCTCTCTGTGCCCTGGTGACTTTACTGCAAAATGGGTCACATAGGGGACTTGTGACCGTCAAGTTCAGGTAAAAACAAGGTGGTTGAGCTCTGTCCGGTTTGGATAGAGTGTCAGCCTGGGGACTGAAGGGTCCTGTTTTCCTTTTTTTTAAATATATATTTTATTGATTTTTTTACAGAGAGGAAGAGAGAGGGATAGAGAGTTAGAAACATCAATGAGAGAGAATCATCAATCAGATGCCTCCTGTACACCCCCTACTGGGGATGTGACCGCAACCAAGGTACATGCCCTTGACCCGAATTGAATCTGGGACCTTTCAGTCGGCAAGCTGATGCTCTATCCACTGAGCCAAACCAGTTTCGGCCCGTTTTCAATTCCAGTCAACAATGGTTTAATCCCCCGTGGGGAACGTGCAGGAGGCAGCCAATCAATGATTCTCATTGATGTTTCTATCTCTCTCCCTCTCCCTTCCTCTCTGAAATCAATAAAAATGTTTTGTTTTGTTTTGTTTTTTTAAATAGGTGGTTGACAAAAGGCAGGGAGTTGGACAGATGTGAGTAGTATTCTTTAGGATGTGGATTCTGAATTTCTCTTCTTAGAAGATTTTGGTTTAATTGAGAGTTTATTGTAGTCATTCTTCAATCTTTAGGGAGGGACGGAAGTCCGGAATCAATTTGTGTTAAAAAAGGAGGATTCTGCCAGCTGGCATGGCTCAGTGGTTGAGCGTTGACCTATGAACCAGGAGGTCCCGGTTCAATTCTCAGTCAGGGCATATGCCTGGATTGTGGGCTTGATCCCCCAGTGTGGGGCATGCAGGAGGCAGCTGATCATCATCATTGCTGTTTCTATCTCTCTCTCCCTCTCCTTTCCTCTATGAAATCAATAAAAAACATTTTTTTAAAAAGGAGGATCCCGCTGATTCCTTGAGAGGTGGAGGTGGAGGGGTGGCAGCACCATCTGTCTTCAGGACATGCGCCCCTCCCCTCCCATCATGCACACACACTGAGAGAGATTTAAGGAGAATGATGGACATGGGGCTCAGGACAATCTCAACTCCCAAAGCTGTATGTCTGGGCAGAGTCCATGGCTGGGAATGGGTGAGGAAGACGCTGTCCCAGGGGCCTGGCAATTTCAGACTACCGCTGTGGGTTTAAGAATCGTTGGGTGGGGCAGTTTGATTTATACAGAAAGTAACTTCATTTCCTGACTACAAGCACAGGCTGAACTTTGGCCCCAGCCTGACCCCTACTCTTCCCACAGACACAGATCCTTAACCCTGCCCCTGGGCTGACCCATCCTTGCCCGTGGACTAACGACCCCTAGCCCTTGACCTCATATTGACCTCTAATCTTTGGATTCAACATGACTTCTGGCACTGACTTCTACCCAACTGACATGATCAGTCAGTCATTGGGGACCAGGGCAGGGTGTGGCTGAGTAGGGACTCGAAACTGGAGACTCCCATCCTAGAGTGTTCCCCCAAATCATAAGGCCTAGGACTTCTTGCCTGATAGAGAGAATTCTCCAAGGATTTATTCCTGGGGTGAGGGTGTCAAGGCTGGGTACCTATGCCTCCCAGAGCACTGGGGGCATGTGATGTTGCTGGATTTCCGGGCTCCACACGTACCTGTCCTCTGCCCGTGAGGACAAAGAGCCCATCCAGATCTGCACAGGTCCCCTCTCTCCCCCACATATTTCCAGCTTCTCCCACCCCCGGCCCTCCCTCAGCACCTGCCAGCCCTTTAATGGCCAGGACTGGGCTCTCAGCGGGCAGAGAGGCCACAGGCATTTCTCCCAGCCAGAGGGACCGGTGGGAGGCTGCCTCCTTCTGGGCTGGGGCAAGGGTGACAGAAACTGCCCCTCCCGTCTCTCCATGCATCCTGCCCCACCCAGTGGGTCCTCATCGTGGGAGCAGCCAGTTCACAAACAACCTCTGTCCCACAGAGCCCAGTCCCTGAAGCCCCTCCCGTCCTCTGCCCACCAGCCCCCCCATCCCCGCCCTTACCTTCTGGGGGCAACTGGCTGCCTTAGCTCTCTCAGGGGTTCCGTGTTTTAGCGCCCCCTCCCTCCCTCCCTCCCTCTCAGGCTCTCCCCCACACGAGCTGGCTTCACGGAAAGACCCCCCTGGCCTGCAGGGAGCCCAGACCCACCCCACCTGGACCTGGAAGCTGGCTTCCCCGAGGGAAACCAGAGCTCCCGGGGCAGGAGGCCCGTCCGCAGGCTGGAACGGTGGTCCCCCGGCCCCCCAGCCACTCTAGAACTTCGGGGACCACGGGGCCCCGGACTACCGCCCCTCCCATCCAAGACTCCCCCCAAACACACACACACACACACACACACACACACACACACACACACACCAGGTATCTACTCAGGTCTGGGCACCCTGCCCTCCACAAACTGGCCCCTCCAGCAGCCCCCCAGCCTCACCAGCACCCCCAAACCCCCATCCCACAGCCCACAGCCCCCCTCTGCGGAGCGTGTGGGGTCCCAGCGCCTGGAGGGGAGCCCTCAGCCTCAGCCCCGCTGGCCGGAGGGCCCTGCGCTCTGTCCCCAGCCCAGCGCCCCGGGCGCAGGGAGCCCGCGGTGGGGCCCCGGCCCGCAGCCCAGGACGGGGCGGACGGACCGCCCGGGGCCCTCGGAGGGCTGACTTCGGCGCCTTTCTCCTCCCCGCGCGCCCCGCGCCCCGGACTCACCTCCGCCCTCCGACAGCGCGATCCGCCCGCCGCCCGGACCGCGGCCCCAGCCCGCGGCAGCGCCCTGCACGGCGTCCGCAGCCCTCGACGGCCCTCCCTGCGCCGCCGCCGCCCCGCGCCGCCCCCTCCCCTCCCCCAGGCCGGATGGCCGCGCCGCCGGGTGGGCCCGCGCTCAGCCCAGATGTGCGAGGCCGGGGCGGGGCCTGCTGCGCGGGCCTCCGCCGAGGGGCCCAGCCTGGCCCGGCGTCCAGGGCCCCTCCCTGAGCCTCTGCAGCGCCTGGCGGCGGCTCCCCAGCAGCCCGGGGGGTGGGGAGGAGGAGGGGGGGGAGGAGGGGCGGGGAGGGAGGGGAGAGGAATTCCATACCCCTGGTCGGCCTCCTGCGGCTCGGCTGCTGCTGCCGCCGAGGGGCCCCCTGCCTGCCCCGACTGGCCCACCTCGGGCTCTGCTTAGGCCAGCCCATGAGGGAGGGGGGGACTGCATGCTGGAAAGAGAAAGCCCGCCCCAGGTCCCTCACAGCACCCCGTCTCCGACCCCCTAATCCCTGGGCCCAGACACCCACCCTGCCACCCCCAGCCTGGTCTCCAGGGGTGAGAGAGACAGGAGGCCCGCTGAGGGTGAAGACAGCCCTTGCGAGTGGGCCTGGCTCTGTCCTTGCTGGAGTTTGAGGCCTAGACAGAAGGGGCTCACCCAGAACTCACCTTCCCGCCCTCCGCCAGGAGCTCCCGCTCCTTTTCTGTGGGGTCGCACAGACTTGCCCCTGACCTAACCCAGGTCCTCTTGAGGATGCTGGGGTGTGGCCTCCAAAAGGGGGTTTGCAGGGTGGAGACCCCTTTTTGCTAAGCCCTTGTAAGGCAGCTGACTCCGCCCCCAAGGACCTCCTTAAAAAATGTTTATTGATTTCAGAGAGGAAAAGAGAGGGAGATACAGAAACATCAACAATGAGAGAATCATTGATCAGTTGCCTCCTGCACTGGGGATGGAGCACGTGCCCTAACCAGGAATTGAACCGTGACCTCCTGGTTTATAGATTGATGCTCAAGCCCTGAGCTACTCAGGCTGGGCGAGTATTTATTTTTGGTTATTTTTTTTCTTTTTCTTTTTTAAAATATATTTTATTGATTTTACACACAGAGAAAGGGAGAGGGATAGAGAGTTAGAAACGTTGATGAGAGAGAAACATCGACCAGCTGCCTCTTGCACACCCCCCACTGGGGATGTGCCCGCAACCAAGGTACGTGCCCTTGACCTGAATCGAACCCGGGACCCTTCAGTCCGCAGGCCGACGCTCTTCCACTGAGCCAAACCGGTTTCGGCTGGGCGAGTATTTGTTATTTGATTTGAGAGAGAGAGAGAAAGAGAGAGAGAGAGAGATCAATCCATCAATCCATCACTTCCCACAGGCGATTGGACCCACAACCTAGGTAAGTGCCCTGACCAGGAATGAACCTGCAATCCTCTGAGCCACTGGCAGGGCCTGGTCAGGCCCCTTCCCTCCACCGAACGTGCCCCAGAGGCTCAGGGTGGCTCAGCCCTGCTCTCCGCACTGAGGTGCCTGGTCTCTGGCTGCTCGCCCAGCCCTCGCCCAAGACAAGGCTCCCACAGTCCTTTGAGCATCACGGTTGCCTCCCACTCAGACCTTCGCAGGGGCCATTTTTCCTCCTTCCTCCTCTCCGCCCAGCTTAAGGCTCCCCAACTAAATTATCACCTCTCCTTGGCTTGTATCCTTATTGACAGGGCCACTGCCCCAGAGCCACCTGCAAGGAGGTTGGGGGTAGGGTGTGTGCTGCACTAGACAATTTTTTAAAAATACATTTTTATTGATTTCAGAGAGTAAGGAAGAGGGAGAAAGAGAGAAACATCCATGATGAGAGAGAATCATGGATTGGCTGCCTCCTGAAGTCCCCCAATTGGGGATCAAGTCCGAAACCCGGGCATGTGCCCTTGAGTGGAATGGAACCTGGGACCTTTCAGTTCGCAGGCTGATGCTCCATCCACTGAGCCAAACTGGCCAGGGCTGCAGTAGACAGTTTTGGATGTCACTACCTGGCAACCTCCATGGCTGCTCTGAGTGTGTGCGTCTGTGGGTGTGGCGGTATGTGTACGTGTGTGGGTATGTTTGCTTGTATCTGTGACTGTGTGTCTATGTATGTTTGTGTTTGAGTGTGTCTCCTGTGATGTGTGTATTATTTAATATTTTTATTTTAAAAAAAGATTTATTTTTATTTTTATTGATTTTAAAAAGGAAGGGAGAGGGAGAGAGAGAGAGAAACATCCATGGTGAGAGAGAATCATTGATCAGCTGCCTCCTGCACACCCCCTTCTGGGGCTCCAGCCCGCAACCCAGGCATGTGCCCTTGACTAGAATGAACCCGGGACCCTTCAGTCCGCAGGCCGATGTTCTACCCACTGACCAAAACCAGCCAGGGCGGTGTGAGTGTTTCTATTTGTCTGTCTGTGAGTGTGTAACAGTGTGTGCTGGGGGCTGGTAGGCCTTGCTCTCAGTTCAGAGGTGGAACAAAGCCTGGGAGGACTGCGCCGTGGCTGTCTGTGAGTGTGTGGGGAAGAGGCACAAGGTCTGGCCCCTCAAATGTAATCTGCCTCTTGTTTTCCCTTCTTCCTCCCAGTTCCCCTCCATCCCCATCTTTAGCTCCACAGATTGGCTCATCTCTGAGGGGCTGGCTCTGAGCAGGAATGAAGACTCGTGGGTGGGGATCTCTGGGCGCCCTCCTGCTTGGCAGCCTTCTGCCCCCCCCCCCCATGTCAGGCCCCTTAGCTCAGCCTCACTTGGGAGTCTCAGGCCCCCACCCTTGGGCAGCTTCCAGTCTGACACAGAGGACAGCCAATAACCCCATGATCCCGCTCCAAGTGAGAGGAGGTTCCAGGAGGTGCCATCAGAAGGTTTGGGCCCAGGTGGGCAGGGACAAGTGTCCTGCAGAGTCCCTGCCCTTCGCTGTCCTCCTGTGCTCTTGCACCTCCCTCCTCTCCCCTCGGGCGCCATTGTGGGCCCACCCACTGACCTCAGCGGCTTCCTGCTTCTCCCCACGGGGGCAGCGGGGGGAAGGTCAGCCTCTGAGTGTCCTCCAGGAGCTGTCTCTCTCTCAGGCCGTCTTCCCTCCTCTGGCCTTTGCTCAGGATCCCCTCCCGTGCATGCCAGCACTGCCAGTGCTGCTCCTCCAGAAGTGCGAACCTGGCCTGGCCGGCATAGCTCTGACCTATGAACCAGGAGGTCAGGGCTTGCTCCCCAGTGGGGGGCATACAGGAGGCAGCCAATCAATGATTCTCTCTCATCATTGATGTTTCTATCTGAATCTCCCTCTCCCTTTCCCTCTGAAACCAATTAAACATTATATCTTTTTTAAAAAGAGGTGCAAATCTGGTCCCATTGCTTCACCACTCCCATACTCTCCATAGCTCCCCATTAGCTAACATGGAAGATCCCAGGTGTGGACTGTCCTTGACTGACTTCTCAAGCTGCCTTCCCAGCCCTAACCTCCAGCCGCATCTGCTGCCCCTCCAGCACACCTGTCCCTGTGCTTTCGCTCTGTTGCTCCACCTGGGCCAGTGGTGACCTGCTTGGAGGAAACATCCTTCTCCGTTTGGACACCCTGGGGAGAAACTGGCCCTTTGGGGCCTACTGTGTCTTCTGGGAGAGCCCCCGCCCCCCTCCGCCCTGGTCACCACCAGGTGGGGCCTTTGGGAAGACTCTTTGGGTTTGGGAGGCAGGAGTAAGGCTCTCCTTTCCTGGGGCCCGATGCTTGGCCTGGCAGCTTCAGGGCGGAAGTGACGTTTGTCTTTAGGACACATCACCCCCCCACCTAAGCCTTTGTGTGCTGAGGGGCTGTGGAGAAAACTTCTCAGTCTTCTCTCCACCCTGCCCAAGGCGATTGCACTCCACCTCAGAGCTTGGGACATATGCATACACACACGAACTCAAGTGCATGAGCATCAGGGCCTATCTCAGAGCCCTCACAGCCTATCTCAGAAGGAAGGGTAGGGTGGGCAGAGGTTTAAAAAATATCTATATCTATATCTATATCTATATCTATATCTATATCTATATCTATATCTATATCTATATCTATACTAGAGGCCCAATGCATGAAGATTCGTGCAAGAATGAGCCTTCCTTCCCCTGGCTGCTGCACCACTTTCACTCTGGCCAGAACCGCCTTTCCACTTTCCCATGCTACCCAGAGGCCCAGAGTGGCTGAGGTGATGAGGAACACCTAGTGACGATGCAAGCATCTTGCCCTGCCCCCAGCTGCTTGGCACCTGCGTATACAAATTAACCTGCCATCTTTTTGGGGTTAATTTGCATACTCACTCCTGATTGGGTGGTGGGCCTCACAAAGGTATGGTCAATTAGCATGTTATAGTATAGATAATAAAAGTCTAAGCGACCATTTGGGCATAACAACCAGAACGACCGGTTGCTATGATGCCCACTGACCACCAGGGGGCAGAAGCTCAATGCAGGAGCTGCTTCCTGGTGGTCAATATGCTCCCACAGGGGGAGTGCTACTCAGCCAGAAGCCGGGCTTACAACTGGTGAGCGCAGTGGTGGTGGCGGGAGCCTCTCCTGCCTCTACAGCAGTGCTAAGGAGCAGCAAGACAAATGGCAAGAAGCAAAGGGTCCCAGATTGCGAAAGGGCACAGGTCAGGCTGAGGGACCCCACACTCCTAGTTCACGAATTCCATGCACCAGGCCTCTGGTATATACAGTATATAGTATATTATTGATTTCAGAGAGAGGAAGGAAGAGAGAGACAGAAACATCAATGATGAGAACGAATCACCCATTGGCTGCCTTCTACATGCTCCTTCCTGGGGACCGAGCCCATAACCCGGGCATGTGCCCTGACCAGGAATCGATCTGTGGCCTCCCGGTTCACAGGTCAATGCTCAAGCACTACACCAGCTGGGCCTGGGCAGAGGCTTTTTACAGCAGTGGACCCTGTTGGCTGTGCCTCATGGTGTGCTGGCGCCTAGTTGGGTACCTTACTCTGCCACTTCCGCTGCCACAACGCCCTGTGGGGAGTAGGGGGAGGACTCTCCACCCTCATGCTGCAGAGGAGAAAGCTGAGACTTAGGCAGAACCGAGCACAGGCCCAGGAGCTGTCCCT